GGAGATGAAGGCTTCGAGGTAACGGCGAAAATTCGACACCCAATGCGTTTTATCGCAGGTATCAGGTTAACGATTTCGTCGCTGGATCCGCTGTTTGACAGCACAAAAACCAGATCGTGAGGCTGGAGTCTGCCGATGTCACCGTGCAGCGCTTCACTTGGGTGGAGGGCGAAGCTGGGTGTGCCCGTGCTCGCCATGGTCGCGCTGATTTTCTGACCAATCATCCAGGGTTTACCGACACCCGAAAAAACAACATTGCCGGGGCAGTTCAGAATTGCGTTGACCGCTGCGTCGAAGCTTTCATCCAACAAATCTGAAAGTTGCCGGATGCCTTGTGCTTCCTGGTCCAGAACACTGCGTCCGAAGTTTATTGTTTTGCTCATGTCAGCTTCACGTCTAATTTGAAATGAACTTTACCGCTATGTGGTCGCGGCCGACAGTCCAATGCTTGCGCTGATGATCTTGTTCCGCCAATGCTGCATGATGGCACGACGAGCGCTTGTCTCGAACAGGCATTGATCGGAGTTAATTTTTTGAGTGGTTTCGACAACAAAACGCTGGCGGCTGTCCTGCCTCGGCCAGTTTCGGCTATACAGCTGGACAGTGGCAGTTCGTTGACCCAGATAACCCAGCTGCACTTTGCCCGCACCGCGGATGCACGCGTGCGCAATTACGCAGAACAATTGCTGGGGGATTTGTGCCTCGGTGAGGTTGTGTTTGAGCTGGGTCAGAGCGGTGAGGCGAAACCTGCGCTGCATGTTGACGAGTCTTACGACCTGTTAGTTGATGAACACAACATCAGGATCACAGCGAACACTCCCTGGGGTGCCCTGCATGGCATCACCACGTTATGGCAGCTGCATCAGGCGGGTGATTTACAGCGCAGCGGTTGGCGCATCGAAGACGCGCCCAGGTTCCCCTGGCGTGGTCTGCTGATAGATGTCGCGCGGCATTTTCTGTCGCTGGAACTGCTGTTAGCGGTTGTCGACGGCATGGCGCTGTTGAAGCTTAATGTGCTGCATCTGCATTTAAGTGATGATCAGGGCTTCCGCCTGGCCTGCAAAGCATTTCCTGAGCTTGCCAGTGAGCAGCACTACAATCAGGACCAGCTGCAGCGGCTCGTAAGCTACGCGGGTGATCGTGGCATACGTGTGGTGCCTGAAATCGATGTGCCCGGCCACGTCAACAGCTGGCTCACTGCGCATCCCGAATGGGGAATAAATCCGGTTGAACCAACCACCCGCTTTGGTGTACACAAAGCCTGTCTTGATGTGACTAACGAATCTGTTTATGCGGCGCTGGACACCATTTTTGACGAGTTGTTGCTGATTTTTCCCGACGCCTACGTACACATTGGTGGAGATGAAGTGCACCCATCCTGGTGGCGGGAGAGTGATCGGGTGCAGCAGTTTATCCAGCAGCATCAGCTGGTCGATGAGCGCGGTCTGCAGGCTTATTTTAATCGGCGTATGTACGACATGCTGGCGGCGAAAAACCGCAAGGTGGTTGGCTGGGATGAAGTCCTGCATCCACAGATGCCGCCTGTGCTGGTGCAGAACTGGCGTGGTGCAACCACCCGGGATCGAGCATTGGCTGCGGGCCAGCAGTGCATAATTTCTGCCGGCTACTATCTGGATCTGTTTTATCCTGCAGACCTGCACTATGGTTACGATCCGCAGGCGAGCCAGGCACAACTGATCGCCTTTGAAGATGCCCTGGCTGAAGATATCCGGCTTGCTCACGTCAGCGAAGGCATAGGGTGGACCCATCAATGGCGTGCGGAGATGATCGATATCTCTGAGCACCCAGTGCGCGAACGCACCGAGGTCCTGGGAGGTGAAGCCTGTTTGTGGGCAGAACTGGTCGACGAACACACTCTGCCCATGCGCTTATGGTCGCGATTGCCTGCGGTCGCTGAACGTCTCTGGTCCGCACAGGACGTTTGTGATGTTGAAGATTTCTATGAGCGCCTGAACGGTTTCCTGGCACTGCCATCGCTTGGTCTGGAGGATCTGCTGAGCACGCAGCTCACCGGGCTGGGTCTTTCGGCAGAACAGATAGAAACGGTAAAAATGCTGGAGCCGGTAAAGTGGTATGCGCGTTTGTTAGGTGCACAAGCGCTGCAGGCTCGTTTGATGGGCAAAGAAATGCCTCAGGCGCGGCCTTACGGCACATTGTCGCCGTTTAATCGGGTAGTCGACTATATTTCGCCGGAGAGCCTGGTGGCGCGAGACCTTGCGGGTTGCAGTGAAGAGGAGTTGTCAGGCTATCTGCAGGACTGGCAACAGGCGGCAACACAGCAGTGGCCGGAAGATGTTGCGCCGGCTGTTGCGCGTCTGATTGACGTGGCGCGCGCGATGCAAAAATATCTGCATGGCACGCTTCCCCGCCGGCAGCTGGAGTTGGATTTGCGTGAGGCTTATGAGCCCCTGGGTGAATACATGCTCGCCCCAGTCCCCGCGTTGTTGATCTGGCTGCAGCGTCACGCAGAAAAGGCGTCTTAACCTGATGATTGCAGAAATTGCTCAGCGCTGGTTCCAAGGTGCACAAGTTGAACCGCTGGGTTCCGGACACATTCACGACACGTATCTGGTCACGGCGGGGGGGGCGCGTTTTGTTCTGCAACGAGTGAGCCAGAGTGTTTTTCATGACCCTGAGTTGGTTATGGCGCAGACACGGCGTGTGCTTGAGTTCTGGTCCCAACAGGATATATATGCGGTTGCCGGGCTGGTAGAGGACAATGAAGGTCTGGATGGCTGCTGGGTGGACGGCGAGTACTATCGGATGTGGCACTATGTTGAACAGACTAAAGTAGTTGACCCCATCGAGAATGTGCAGCAGGCGCGTGCGGCCGGGGCTGCGTTTGGCGCGTTCCAGGCTCGTTTGGCACATTTGCCTGCACCTCGCCTGGTACCCACGATTGCCGGTTTCCTGCAGCTCGATCATTACCTGAAGAACTACGATGAGGTTGCCGCAGAAGCGCCACGCCATCTGCAGGCGGTGGTGGATCGACACCGTGACCTGTACGCAGATCTGCTGATGGCTAACACAACCATCCACGGGGACTGCAAAATCAACAACCTGCTTTTTGATCAGCAGGGTGAGTCTGTTGTCGCCATCATCGATTTTGATACCGCAATGTTTGGCCACTGGGCCTGGGACTTTGGTGATCTGGTGCGTTCGGTGTGTTTCTCCGCAAAGCGTACGTCGCCGGAATTTTTTACCGCGTGCCTGCAGGGATTTGCACCGCATCAGCCGCTGACCAATGTAGCCGCTGCTGTCGCGGCACCTTGTTATGTCACGCTGATGCTGGGCATCCGGTTTCTAACCGATCATCTGAGCGGAGATACCTATTTTCGAGTCAGTCAGCCTGGTGAAAATCTGCAGCGTGCCCAGGAGCAGTTTGATCTGTTTGCGGCTTTCAGGCGTCAGGGGAAAAATTGGCAGGGCCTGGCTGAAGAAACGTTGGCCAAGCTCTCAGGCTAAGGCAATACCAGCGACACCACGCCAATCATGATCAGCACAAATATGAAGGTGAAGCCAATACCCATGAAAATGAACTGGCTGGGTTTGCCTTTAGTGAAATCACGCTCCCGATTCTTGCTGGATTGAACCCCCAGTGCTGCCGCTATGGTGCTGCCGAGGACCTGCCAGAAAGTCAGAGAGTCCTGTTCCTGTTCTGGATTGTCGTTGGCTGAGTCTGTCTTGGTTGAATCTGTCATGGCGCGCATTGTCCGCTTATGTGTATTCGTTTTCTATACGGGTAACCCAGTAATCGGCGTCAAAGTTGTCATCACCACTGATATAACGCCAGAAGCGCACGCGATTGATGAATTCCAGGCGTCCGGTGTCTGCCTCAAACCAGGGTTCGGGTTGAGTCAGAATGGCCGCCAGGGTGTTTGGATCCTGTTGCGGGTCAATCCAGAAGATTGGACGGTTTTTATCCTGTGCCCCGTCTGCTTCGGTATCCCATAAACGCAGCTGCCGTTTGGTTGGGCACAGGCGTATTTTGAACATGTAACGCAACGCATCCGAGCGGTTCAATCCGCCGCCATGCCACATTCCCATGTGAAAGAACATCACCGTGCCTGCCGGGCATACGGTGTGTTGTTGTCCGGCGATGTTCTGGTAACGGGCGATCGCAGCCTCCGAGACAATCCGAAAATGGGTGCCGGGAATAAACCGGGTACCGCCCATTTCCAGCGTCACTTCGTGAGGGAAATAAAACATCTGCACGTCGAATGCGTGGCGCGGATCGATGGTGGAATCCTGGTGTGTGGGCTGGGATTTCAGCGGCGGCTTGTCGGCTGGCGTGTAGCTGGGCGGGAAAGTGATGTGTAGAAAATGGTGGTCTACCACGCTGTCTGAACCCACCAGGCTTTCAATGGCACCGGCGACTTCTGGCACTTCGAGAATGTTCGCCAACGCACCACCCGCGGGGTAGGCCTGTGCAAGCGGGGTGCCCGGGTTAACTAATGGAACGACGCTGCTGCGCATGATGTTGCCGTAATGACCCGCAATGCTGTCCGGGTGCTCAGATGCGTCTCCGATGTCGTTGAGGAACTGCTGATTCAAGGCTTCAGGCACTATGGCGTCGAAGCGCAGGAATCCTCGTGCGGCAAACTGGGCCATTTGAGTAGTGTTGAGCCGAGTGAGATTACTCATGGTCTGATGCATCCTCCAAGGCCACTATTTGTTCAAAGAAAAATTCATATTTCAGATAGCTGGTGCGAAATTCGTCGCCAGGTGTGTGTGGGTTGAGCTGGCTGGCCTGGAACAGGCGCCAACCGTCTTCCATGGCGTGCAGACCACTTTTGTAGGGGGGTTCCTCGCTGTCGCCAGCCATGTTGATGGTGCGGCCGGTACCATCGTAGTGGCTCCAGCCAATCACGCCGCTGTCGAGGTTCGAATTCTGCAGATACAAAATCAAAACTTTCTGACGCAAGGTTTTATGCTGCACGGGACTGGTCACGGCTGGCTCCAGATATTAGGCTTCATCGATGCAATTACACCCACTGAATAAAGCGTTCCATTGGCAGCAACCACCTGCGCCTTACGAACTCATTACCCAGGAGCAGGCGATAGCATATCGCGAAGCGGGCGGTTTTGTGTTGGAAAATTGTTTTTCCCAGCAGGAGCTGGACACGCTGATGGAAGAGCTTGATCCCATTGAGGCGGAGGTTAATCGGCGCCTGGCAGACATGCCTGCGGATCAGCCAACCATAGCCCGTGAAGATGAAATAGTTTTTTCTGCACATGCGGTGCTGACCAGTGGTGTCGCAAAAGCTTTTGCCCGGCATCCGGTTTTTCAAGCTTTGGCCCGGGACCTTATCGGCCCGACGGTGCGCCTCTATTGGGATCAGTTAGTCTATAAACGACCGGGCACCGCAGATGAGTTTCCCTGGCATCAGGACAACGGGTACACCTTTGTCGCACCGCAACAGTATTTAACCTGCTGGGTCGCGCTGACGGACGCCACCATCGACAACGGCTGTCCCTGGATAGCGCCAGGTCTGCACAAGATGGGTACCTTGCAACATCACTGGACGCCCCTGGGCTTCAATTGTCTGGATGAACCACCTGCTGACGTGGTGGCATTGCCTGTTAAAGCGGGGAGCGTTGCGGTGTTTTCCAGCCTGACGCCCCACCGCACCGGTCCGAATCTCACTGCTGATGTGCGCAAAGCTTATATTCTGCAGTACGCGCCGGATGGTGCGGTGATCCATCCACGAGGTGCAGATGCCGTGACGGCAGATGACCCTGACCGACAATTTCTGATCACAACATGAATATCCAAATCACCATTGTTGCCTGTCTGCTCGCATTATTGAGCGGCTGCGTGGGAGACCAGCGCCCCTTGCAGCTGATTTCCGGCGCAGGTCCGATTTACCCGCCCCAGGCAAAAGCCCAGGGCCTGCAGGGTGACGTTGTTGTTCGTTATAACGTTACGGCCCAGGGCATGGTGGTAGATGCTGAGGTGATCAGCAGTGAACCGCCGGGCGTTTTTGATGCCGCGGCCTTAGATGCGGTTAACAGCTGGCGATTTAACCCGCCAGTGATTGACGGCGTATCCCAGGCCAGTTCCGGACGTCAGAGCACTGTGAGCTTCAGGTTGGATGGCGCGGACCGTTACGACGGCTATTAGCGTGGCCAATAATGTCCTGAATTCCCTTTTGTATGGTTGACAGATAAATGAATATCGAAAAAAACAGCGTCGTCATGTTGCGCTATTGCCTCCGTAATGATGCCGGAGAGGTGCTCGACGATGCTATGGGGGGTGAGCCCATTGCGTTGCTGCATGGCCACGGTAACGTCATGCCTGGCCTCGAAAAATCGTTGTTGGGACGAGCTGCTGGCGATGAGTTTGAAGTTGTTATAGAGCCTGTGGATGCCTATGGGTTGCGTAAAGACGATCAGATTCAGCGGTTGTCAAAAAAATACTTTCCGGATGCCAAACGCCTAAAGCCGGGCATGCAAACTGTTGTGCAGACCAAGGAAGGGCAGCGACGCGTCACTGTGCACAAAGTGGGTGGCAAGGTGATTGATGTGGATCTGAATCATCCGCTGGCAGGCCAGCGTCTGCACTTTCAACTTAACATTGTCGATGTGCGGGAGGCGACGTCCACGGAGCTTGCCCATGGCCACGCCCACGCGGACGGGCATGATCATCATTGAGCACGGGCATGGACCCTACAACTTTGCGGGGAATCGCCGGGTCCGGCACTTCGAATGAATGTGATCTAGTGTTATACATTACTAACACACTATGACAGAATAACCCCTGGTTAACTTTCTGGATTCATCAGATGCGTATTTGGGTGTGGATTGTTCGCAGTCTTTTCGGGGTTGGTGCACTCTTAGTTGCAGGTATTGCCGCTTTGCTGATCTATCAGCGAATCTCAGACGGCCCCACGGAACTCCTGCCGGGTGGCCCTTTCACCAGCGGCACTGTGCTAAGCGCGCCTGTAACAGATTGGTCACTGCTGGAAGGTGATTTTGAGTTTGAGCTGGTCGGCGAGCGCACCTCCCGCAGCGCAGGCGGCCTGCTGCTTGATGGCAATCTTTATATTTCCTGCGATCTGGGTTTCATCTGGTCCCGCTTGCCTGAAGGCCTGGGCAGGAACGTCATGCACGTCATCTGGTGGTTCAAAACCTGGCATGGAAAGGCGCTGATTGACGGACGGGTCCGCATCAGAAAGGACGGCAATATCTATCCCGTGACAATCGAACGTGTGACTAACCCGCAACTTCTCGAACGGTTGAAAGCCACCATCGAATTTGAGGCAGAGAAATTTTTTGCGCCGAATGAACTAGGCCCCCGGCCGGTAGATCCGCCTAACGACATCTGGTTCTTCAGAGTTCGTCAATGAGGTGTTCTGGTCGGAACTAAGTGCGCGGCAGATTATTCGTTAAGAAAGCCCGTACGTCATCTGCGCTTTGAACAGGCACCTCTTCCATAGGTATGTGCCCCACATCCGGGTAAATGATCAGTTCTGCATTGGGCAGCGCCTGTTCAAACTTTTCTCCCACGCTTGCTGGTATAACCGCATCATACTCTCCCCATAGTATAAGTGTTGGGTGGTTGAGGTTTGCAAGGTCCCACTCCTGCGCCGCGCCGCCGCGCCAGGAAGAAAATCTTATCAGCGTTGCGTCACGGGTGCCTTCGCGCATGGACAGTTCGTAGTATCGGGCGATCAGCTCATCGTCGACAAATTCAGGATCAAAGTGGGAAGCTTTTAACCCTTGCGCCACGAGAAAGTAAGGATCGATGTAACGGGCAATGCCCTGAAACCAGGGCTTGCGCAGCAGGCTGAAAGCCAGCGGCGCTTCGCGCTCTTCTGTGTCTTCCGCACTCTGCACGGCTGTTTCGCGCCACGCAGGCAGGCCTGATGCATCCACCAGAATCATAGCCAGTACGTCATCAGGGTATGCCAGGGTGTAGCGCCAGGTGACGCCGCCGCCCATGGAATTGCCGCCTAATACAAACGGTCCAAGGTTGAGGTGTTCCGCCAGCGCCTTAACCACGGCGACAAAGGTCTCCGTTGAATAGTCATCGGCGGGTGTTCGTCCGGTCAAGCCATGGCCGGGCAAATCCAGAGAAATGACGCGATACTTATCGCCTAACAAATCAACCCACGGCTCCCAGGTGTGCAGGGATGCGTTAGAGCCATGCACCAGTACAACTGGCTGCCCATCAGCGTTGCCCTGGTCGCGAAAATGTACACGGCCGTTGTCACCAAGCGCGAGAAACTGTGATGCAGCATTGCTGTATCTGGCATCTACCTCGGCCGCAGGCATGTCGGACTCAAACAAGACGAAGCCGGCAAGAACCAGCAGAATAAGTATTCCAATCAGCCATTTCATAGGTTTGCTCTCTAGTTCTACTTATTCAGGCGCTGCATCTGTCACACCAACAAAGCCGACCATTTGAGTAATCTGACCCGCGGCATCCAGATCGATGACGTATTGACCAAGCTGACTCTGATCTCCTTCGCCAAACCGGACGGTTGCGCGGATGAAATTTAAAGTAGAGCTGGTGCCCACAACGGATACTGGCATCCCCGGCGCCATCCTTGAGAACATGCCAACATATTCTTTGACCTCGCCGGCATCAGACAAAGGCGTTTCGGTTCGTGGGTCGGCGTAAAAAATACTTGCCCCCAAAGTGCTATCAATCTGTGCATCTCGAGTGGCGGCATCCTGTTCGGCCCACGCGGAAAAGAATTTTTCGACTGCTGTGCTCATTGAGTTCTCCTGAGAATCGGCAACAAAGATACCAGTCGCTCTGTCAGGTAGCACTTCCTTTATCCAGCGGCGGCAATCCTCGAATCAATGTGGTCAGGATTAACGCTATGCTCAGTGTTAAACCCACTTTTCCGGATAGATCTGAATGATCTCGATGAGCGTGCCATCTGGGTCCAGACAGATTGCGATGTCTGCTTTGCCTTCTTCGGTGCGCTTCGGTGCTGAGAAAAACGGCACACCAGCCTCAACTAATTCTTTGTAATCTTGGTCCAGGTTCTGGCTGGCCAGGCACATTCTGACAATGCCCTTATCCTGATTCAGCAGAGGTGCAGCGGTCTTTGCCCCTGTGTCTCGCCACTCGATGAGATCCAGCTTGGGAAAGCCACGATCCAATTGCATGATGCAGGCGCGGCCTGTGGTTTCCAGGGGCACGTCAAGGGCAACCGCGGCTTCTGGGTTGAGTATCTCCGGTTCGGCCTGATTCAGATTGAGGTAGGGAATGCCCGGCATCAGGACGCTGAAGCCCAATAACTCATAAAAAGCGATTGAATCCTCCAGCCTGGTCACATTCACATTGATGTGGCCCCAGGATAATTTGGCCATGAGTATCCCTCAGTTGGAGTAGATTTGATCGCGGAGTATAGCCCGGTTCGCCGCCTGAAATTCCGTTGCTGGAACCTGTCGCCAAACTGTCTGATAGTGAAATCTTTCACTGATTTCATCCCTAACATTGGCCTATACTGAAAATTATTTCTACTCGCCAGATGTGATGGGACGCTCAAAGCTTCTTTCAGTTGTGATTGCCACCACGCTCATGTTCAGCAACATGGCGTGTGCCTGTGCACCTGGCGACATGAGCGCAGAGATCACTACTGCCCACCATCACATCACCAGTCAAAGTGATGTCGAAAACACGCCATGCCCACACCAGGACTGTGAAGGGTGCGGTGATCTGCGCGAAAGCTGTACAACGGCCGATGACAGTCTTACCACTGTTGATCGAGACGCCCGCATACTGCCGCCGCAGAAACCCGATCCGGACGAGCCCGATCCAGGCGGCCCCGACCTGGATATAGCTTTCTTAGATACGGGCCCGGCATGGCGATCGTTGCCTGGGCAAATCAGTTGGACGTCACCGTTAACAATTAACCCCCGTGTCGCCGATACGCCGATCCAGCGCAAGGATCAACTCACCGAATAGCCCCTTTTCGTTAGGCAGGTAAAGCCTGCCGTGTGTTCACAACACACCTGTAACAAACAGCCAAACGGAAAGGATAGGCCAATGACACCTCAGCTCCCGGATATATCGGTTACTCATCTTGTTTCCGCGGTTATTTGCAACCGCTTGGGCATCGTCTTTTTGCTGCTTGCCGGCTTCGGGTTACCGGGCTGTGCTGGGGTGATGTCGGCTCGAACCTACGACCCCACGGTTCCTCCACCCTATGCAACCCTCAGTGAACGGGTTGTGGTGCCCCGAACCGAAGATTCTTCCGTCGCAGAGATAAGCGGCAATGATCTGCCGGGTTTGGTCACCTATGCGCTGCAGAATAATCCCCGCATTACTTCAGCCATTGCGCAATATGAAGCGGCCAAAACCCAGGTAACGCAAGTCACCGCCCTGCCGGATCCAAAGTTGAGCTATCGACATTTCCTGGAAGAAGTAGAAACCCGGGTGGGGCCGCAGCAATACGCGATTGGCATCTCACAATCACTACCCTGGCTGGGAAAGCTGCGTCTGCAGGGTGAGGTTGCCTCACAGCAGGCACACGCCGCCGCCGCGCGCATATCAACTATCCAGAACGAAGTCATCGCCGAAGTTGCCAGCGCCTGGTATGAACTGTATTACTTCAATCGCGCCCTGCAAATCATGCAAGGCAACCGAGACCTGGTAGTGCATCTGGAACGTGTGGCGCGTACGCGCTACAGCACCGGCGCGGCTGGTCATCCGGATGTTATTCGTGCCCAGGTCGAGCTGGGGAAAATTGAGAATGACCTGGCCAGTCTGTCTGATCGTAAAAGACCGCTGTTAGCCCGTCTGAATGCGGCGCTTAACCGTCCTAGCCACAGCTCCATTGAAATGCCAAAAGATGCACCCGTGGTGCGGATGCCACGCCAGGATACTCAGATTATCGCTGGTGTTGCCAACAACAATCCTGAGCTGCACGCGCTCGCCTTCGATATCGCAAGCGCAACGGCAGCAAAAGAACGGGCAAACAAAGATTTTCTGCCTGACTTTTCCTTCGGCATAGATTACATCGCGACAGGCAACGCGCGCGCTCCGAACGTCGCGGGAAGTGGTGATGATCCTGTTTCAGCCGCATTTACGATGACGCTGCCCATTCAACGCGGCAAGTACCGCGCCGGGGTTCAAGCGGCACAAGCGCGTATCGTTGGCGAACAAGCCCGGCGGGATCAACACCTGAACAGTCTGGAAGCATCGACGGTCAACGCCCTTTTCAGGCTGCGGGACGCCGAGCGCCAGATAGATCTGTATCAAAACACACTCCTGCCCAAAGCCAATGAATCGTTAGTTGCCACGCAACGCGCCTATAGCTCGGGCGGCTCTACCTTTTCGGATCTGATCGACGCACAGCGGGTGTTGCTGGTGTTTGAGCTGGCCGAAGTGCGCGCGATTACCGACCACAACCTGGCCCGGACAACGTTGGAACAGCTGATGGGCGCACCCTTCGACGCCGCCGACACCAAAAGGGAGCAACATGATGGACTTTAGGGCACGCGTAGCCGAATTATTCCGCAACCGCAGCGTCATTGTCACAATCGCTGTATCCGTCGTCGTTGTCCTGACCCTGGCCTTGTGGCCCGAACCCACAACTACCCCTGGGGTCGAGACCATGGCTGGACACGAAGGGCACGCCACGATGCAAAGCCCGGACCTGCATGCCGGTCATCGGGATCCGTTAGCGCCGCAAGTGGAAACCTGGAGCTGTTCCATGCATCCCCACATCATGCGCGACGCGCCAGGAAAATGTCCGATCTGCGGCATGGACCTGATCCCCGTTCGTCAGAACCATTCAGCAACAGACGAAGAGCCTCGCCAGTTAACGGTATCTTCAGCCCAGCGCGCGCTGATGAGAATCGAGACAGTCCCGGTTGAACGCCGGTTTCCGGTTGCCGAATTACGCCTGGTTGGCAAGGTGGCTTATGACGAAACCCGCCTGGCTTATATAACGGCGTGGGTACCCGGACGGATAGATGATCTGCTGGTGGATTACACCGGCGTTACCGTGCGGGAGGGTGACCATATGGTGCAGCTCTACAGCCCTGAACTGCTGTCTGCGCAGGAAGAACTGCTGCAGGCTCTCCAAGGGCTGGCAGATCTGTCGAAAAGCAGCATGAGTTCTTTGCGGAACTCGGCCAGCGGCACCGTGGACGCAGCGCGGGACAGGTTGCGTCTATGGGGGCTCGGCGCTGATCAGATCAAGGAGATTGAAGACAGCGGCAAGGCTTCGGAGCACGTCACCATTAACTCCCCGGCCAGTGGTGTGGTCATCCATCGCAACGCTCAGGAAGGCATGTACGTCGAAACCGGTACCCGGATCTTCACCATTGCGGACCTCGATGCAGTCTGGGTTCAGCTGGACGCATATGAATCAGACCTGCGTTGGTTACGCTACGGTCAGCACGTCGACTTCACCACCGAGGCCTACCCCGGAGAAACATTCAACGGTGTTGTATCGTTCATCGATCCGGTTTTGAACCCCACAACCCGTACCGTGAAAGTCCGCGTTAACGTGGATAACAGAGATGGGCGCCTTAAGCCTGAAATGTTTGTGCGTGCTAATGTGTCTGCGCAGTTTGCCGGCAGCGGCCGCATGCTGGACAAAGATATGATCGGTAAATGGGTGTCGCCGATGCATCCCGAGGTCATCAAAGACGCACCCGGCAAATGTCCGATCTGCGGCATGGACCTGGTCCCGGCGGAATCTCTCGGCTACGCAAATGCAGCACCCTCCGATGCCGTCGCCCCACTTGTGATTCCCGCAACGGCCGCGTTGCTGACCGGCAAGCGTGCAGTGGTGTACGTCGAAGTGCCTGACACAGATCGACCAACCTACGTTGGTCGCGAAGTGGTGCTGGGGCCACGTGCGGGCCCTGATTATGTTGTGGAAAGCGGGCTTGCTGAAGGTGATCTGGTTGTGGTCTCCGGCAACTTCAAGATTGATAGCGCGCTTCAGATCCAGGCCAAACCCAGCATGATGAATCCTGCAGGCGGCGGTGGTGGCGGCAGCCACAACCACGGGGGCGGGTGATCGCCATGAGTGAGTCATATTCGTTGCTCGACAGGCTGTTGCGATTCTGCCTGGAGAGGAAACTGATCATCGGTCTGCTGCTGATTGGTGTCATTGGCTGGGGTATCGCCGTTGCCCCTTTCTCCTGGGATACCGGCAATCTGCCGCGCAGCCCTGTTCCAGTTGATGCCATCCCGGACATTGGTGAAAACCAGCAGATTGTCTTTACCGAATGGATGGGGCGCTCGCCCCAAGACGTGGAAGACCAGATCACCTATCCGTTGACAGTGGCACTACTGGGTGTTCCCGGCGTGAAAACCGTTCGCAGCTATTCATTTTTCGGATTTTCAACCATCTATATCATCTTCAAAGAAGACGTAGAGTTCTACTGGTCACGTAGCCGTGTCCTGGAGAAACTCAACTCGTTACCGCAGGGCACGGTACCGGATGATGTTCAGCCGGCACTTGGTCCGGACGCAACTGCGTTGGGCCAGGTCTACTGGTACACCCTGGAAGGCCTGGATCCGGAGGGGAATCCAACAGGCGGCTGGGGCCTGGAAGAGCTGCGCTCAATTCAGGACTGGTACGTGCGCTATGCCCTGTTGGGCGCCGAGGGGATCAGCGAGGTGGGTTCCATTGGTGGCTATGTCGAGGAATATCAGATCGATGTGGACCCGGACGCCATGCGCGCCTATGGGGTCACACTTGAACAGGTCATCAAAGCCACCCGTGCTTCCAATCTGGATGTAGGTGCCCGAACAATTGAGGTCAATGGCGCGGAATATGTCATTCGAGGCCTGGGTTTTATCGAGAGCATTGAGGATGTGGAAGAAATTGCCGTTGGCGTCCGCGACAACGTGCCGATCCACATTCGGGACGTGGCTAATGTGGCCAAAGGGCCGGCGCTGCGACGCGGCGCGCTGGATAAAGGTGGTGCCGAGGCAGTGGGCGGCGTGGTGGTTGTGCGCTACGGCTTTAATCCGCTGGCCGCCATCAGCAATACCAAAGATAAAATTGCCGAGATTTCTCCTGGCCTGCCGGCAAAGGCGATTGTCGATTACAGGAAAACAAGCAAAGCACAACTCGGCCAGTTTGCAGCCACGGCCGGCATCGCCGGGTTTATTGACAACCAGCTCAACCAGGACGCCTGGGTCGCCTGGCTTCGCGCCAATTCGCAAGCGACCTGGCCTGTTGGCGTCACGCTATCGCAGGTCGCCATTGTTCCATTCTACGACCGTACAGACCTGATCCACGAAACTTTAGGTACGTTGAACGATGCGCTGACCGAAGAGATTTTTATCACGATGATTGTCATCCTGATCATGGTGCTGCATCTGCGCAGCTCGATATTGATCAGTGCGCTGTTACCCGTTGCCGTTCTCATGACCTTCATCGCCATGAAGCAGTTCGGCGTGTCAGCAAACATTGTTGCGTTGTCGGGTATCGCCATCGCCATTGGCACCATGGTCGATATGGGCGTGATTGTCTGCGAGAACATTCTCAGGCATATGGATGAAGCAGACGATAGTGAACCGCCGCTGGAAGTTGTGTTCCGGGCTACCCGTGAGGTTGCCAGTGCGGTGCTGACATCTGTTGCAACAACCGTTGTCAGCTTCCTGCCGGTCTTCACCATGACCGGGGCTGAAGGCAAACTCTTCACCCCCCTGGCTTTCACCAAAACGTTTGCACTTGTCGCCGCCGTGATCGTGGCGCTTACGGTTATTCCGCCTGCGGCGCAGATACTGTTTTCCGCGAAAATCGACTCCTCCAAATTGAAAGCGGCTTTTCATGCAAGCCTTGTCCTTGCCGGTTTGCTAATCGCATTTTTCTTCAGCCCCCTGGCCGGGCTCCTGCTCAGCGCCTTTGGGTTGCTGCAGTTACTGGCCAAGCACCTGCCCGTATGGCTGAGGCGCTCCGGCCCGGCTGCTGCGAGTCTGGTTGTGGCGGGGCTGGTAGCCATTCTTCTGGCCGAGGAGTGGCTGCCTCTAGGACCAGGGCGCGGGCTGATTGTGAATCTGATCTTTGTTGTGCTGTTGATCGGTGGACTGCTGTTGTGCTTCCTGGCTTATCAACGGGTCTACCCTCGCGTGCTGGCTTTCTGTTTGAAACGCAAATTGGGCTTTCTCAGTGTGCCGGTGCTTGTCACGCTGATTGGGGTCATGGCCTGGTCAGGCTTCGACAATATGTTCCGGTTTGCACCGGATGGGCTGCGCCAGACAGCATTGTGGCAAGGGATTGACAACACCTTTCCAGGGTTTGGCAAAGAGTTCATGCCTGACCTGGATGAAGGATCCTTTCTCTACATGCCTACAATCATGCCCCATGCTTCAATTGGTGAAGCCCAGGATACGCTGCAGATTCTCGACGAGGCGATTGCCTCCATCCCCGAGATCAAATCTGTGGTGGGCAAGCTCGGCCGGGCTGATACACCCCTGGATCCCGCACCTATCTCCATGTTCGAAACCATCATTAACTATCATCCGGAATTCCGCACAGACGACAACGGCCGCATTCTGCGATTTGCATACGACAAGCAGGCAAACGCCTTTGAACGCGATGCAGCCGGCGGCCTGATTGTTGACGATAGTGGCCAGCCGTTCCGCAACTGGCGCGAACACATCCACTCCACGGACGATATCTGGCAGGAAATCATCCAGGCCACGGATCTGCCCGGAACAACTTCCGCGCCGAAACTGCAGCCCATTGCAGCACGTATTGTGATGCTGCAAAGCGGAATGCGCGCGCCGATGGGTATCAAAGTCAAAGGACCGGATCTTGAGACAATCGAACGTGTCGCCCTGCAGCTTGAGTCTCTGCTGAAAGAAGTGTCCAGTATTGAATCCGATACCGTGACGGCTGACCGGCTGGTGGGTAAGCCGTATCTGGAGATCGATTTAGATCGCAATGCGCTGGCGCGCTACGGACTGCACATCGAAGAAGCGCAGCAGGTTATTGAGGTCGCTGTGGGGGGTAAGCGCATCACCAGTACAATTGAGGGGCGCGAACGTTACCCGGTGCGGGTGCGGTACTTCCGTGAATTGCGCGATACACCCGAAGGCCTGGAAGAAATTCTGGTACCCACCTCTACCGGCGCCCAGATACCCCTTGGACAGCTGGCAGAAATTCGTTACGTGCGTGGCCCACAGGCCATCAAGAGTGAAGACACGTTTCTGGTGGGTTACGTTGTGTTCGATAAACGCGCTGAAGCTGCAGAAGTGGATGTGGTCGAAGACGCCCAGGCGTATCTCAAGACAAAAATCGACAGCGGAGAGTTCATTCTGCCGGCGGGGGTAAGTTACACGTTTGCAGGTAATTACGAAAATCAGCTGCGCGCACAGCAGACTTTATCTGTTGTATTGCCGGTAGCCCTGTTAGTGATTTTTCTGATTCTTTACCTGCAGTTCTCTTCGGTGACCACCACCCTGATTGTGTTCAGCGGTATAGCCGTGGCCTGGTCAGGGGGTTTTCTGGTGATCTGGTTATACGGCACCAGCGGCTTTCTGCATTTCTCAGTGCTTGGCGCAAATATGAGTGAGCTCTTTCAGGTCACTCCGATAAACATGAGCGTCGCAATCTGGGTTGGGTTCCTGGCCCTGTTTGGTATTGCCACGGATAACGGTGTGGTGACAGCAACCTATCTGGATCAAACGCTCGCTAAAGCGGAGGCTAATAAAATCGACGACATCAGGTCGCTGGTGGTGAAAGGCGCAACGCGTCGTATACGCCCGGCATTGATGACAACCGCAACAACGCTGATTGCGCTGATACCGGTTTTAACCTCAGACGGCCGCGGTTCGGATATTATGGTGCCGATGGCTATTCCGTCTTTTGGCGGCATGCTGGTTGCCATCATCACCACGCTGCTGGTACCGGTTCTGTACTGTGCGGTGCAGGAAATGCGCTTGAAGTGAATCCATGAACTAAAGCGGCCTTGAGCAAAACTACACCGACTAATATCCCCGAAGTTGCGCGTGTAAAAGGTCATCTTGCCCCAGGTTGCTTCAACGGCGAGAGATTCGTGTGCCATCACTTAAACGGTCGTTGGGATGTTGAACTATCCGATCACCGACCTGCAAACCGCTGATGACTTCGACGTCAAGATTTGAACTGTGCCCTATGGTTACTGGGGTTGTGCTCGCGACGCCGTCGTTGTCGAGATATACAGCCCAGCCGTTGTCATGTCTGAATAAAGCGGTCAACGGAATTGTTTTGACAGCCTCAGATTGCCACATCACGACCCGGACATTCACACGAAAGGCATGTCCCAGCGACACATCATCTGACGGCGCGTCGAGAAGGTCCATGACTACATTGACGCGCTGCTCTTCGATGCCCAGTGCTGACGTCTTGGTAAAGGCAAATGGTTCAACCATTCTCACCAGCGCAAGTAGCACTTCATTGCCTCCCCAGCCGTCGATAATCACCTGCTGACCAGGTCGGATTTTCACGGCATCGTAGGACAGCATGTCGGCAACAATCTCCAGATCTCGAGGATCACCGACTTCCATCAGCGGCGCACCAGGGGTAACGATGGTTTCGCTTTTCTGCAGGATGCGTAAAACCCGCCCATCTATGGGTGAGCGCAGGGTGACACATGCGCAGGGTGATTGACTGGAGGCCGAGCCCGTGGGCGGCACGAGCCGCGCGCGGGCACGATTGAGTTCATAGTCCCGTACCTTGAGGTTACCCATAGCTGCTTCAACCGCTGCCTGGGTTGCCTGGGCGCCTCGCTCAGCATCATCTACTTTCTGCCGGGCGATGGTACCTTTTGCAAAGAGGTCATGGGCGCGTTTAACTTCAGCAGAGGCGAAGTCCCGTTCTGCTTTTGCCTGTTTCAGCTCAGCCAGGGCAACCTCGCGAGCGGCAGCTGCCGCATCCCGCAACGCTTCGCTTTCTGCCTGAGCACGAGGGTCCAGGAATTCAGCATCGCTGGGCTCGATTTCTGCAACCACGGTCTGGTTAGCAACAACCTGATCCCCTTCTTTTAATCTGGTGCGCAGCAGGCGGCCCTGCACCGGCGCAGAGATGGTGAAAATCTCTCTGGCTCGCGTTTTGCCCTCTTCATCAATGGTGACTCTCATCGGCCGTAGTTTGACTTCAACGATGTCAACCAGCTCGGCGCGAGGGCGGAACAGCATGAACATCGACAGCACCAGCACAAGGCCGGGTACTAACCAGATCAACACACGTTTCGTGTTGACCGTGGTGGTGTTTGCTTTCTTGTTCAGTTCTGACATTTGTTATTCCCTGGTCTTTAATACGCTAATCAGGTTGAGCCGCGCAAGGCGACGCTCGATAAAAAACGCTGATGCGATTGCTGATCCGATCACAACCAGCATGCTGTAACCGTAGGTTGCTGGTGCGATAACCACCGGCAAGCGAAACAGTTCATTGTTGAAACCCTGCGCCATATACTCTGCCAGCAGCCAACCCAGCAGACAGCCGATGGGAAGCCCTAACAGCGTCAACACAGCCGCTTCACCAAACAACATGTAAGCAATTTCCGCTTTGGTGAATCCCAGCACACGCAGGGTCGCCAGCTCCCGACCTCTCTCAGACAAAGAGATGCGCATGTTGTTGTAGAGCACGCCGAATGCCAGCGTGGCAGCAAACGCGACATAGAAAAAGATCATGATCAGCATGGTTTCGCCAATGGTCTGATTAAATAATTTAATCGCCGCGCGTTTAAGTACGACACCGGCAACAGCCGGAATATCTTTTAATTTGTTCAGCAGCAGGGGTTGCTGACTCTGGTCAAAAAGAGCCAGCAGAAGATTGGTTTGTTCAGGTTCGTGCAGCGCTCGGTTTAAGGGCTCTATGTTCATATAAACCGGGGTGCCTACCAGGGTCTCAAATACTGCAGCTACAGGAATGCTGAGCGTTGGACGTCGCCCCTGCAGGACTTCGACAATCACCGTGTCTCCCACCTGCACACCCAGGAGGTCGGCCATCGCGGTAGACATCAGCAAACCCGCTGGCGGTAATGCAACACGACTGCCATCGACGTCGTGCAGCACTTCTAGCTCGCTGTTTAGCGGTAATCCCAGCAGCGCTTCGCGGCGCTGACGCGCACCAAAGTGCAGCCGTGTCGCTATCGCGCGATGGGCTTCAACAGCTTGTACACCGGGTAGCCGCATCAAATTGTTGCCTACCTCGAACTTTTTGGATTCAACCAGGGCAACGGTCAGGTCCTGACGTTGCTGCGTATTGAAGTAATCTGCAACGATGTATTCGATGGCATCCAGCCATTGCAGGCTGGTGACCAGAACCGCCACAGAGGCGGCTACGCCAAGGCTGGTCAGTAGGGTACGCAACGGCCGACGTAGCACCTGCCGGAAAATAATCCGAGTGGGTTGGTCAATAAGTTTCAGCAGCTGAGACAATCCAAGCGTGTGATGACGGAAAGGTGGTGGCGATGAGGGCCGCATAGCTTCTGCAGGCGGTAACAGAGCAGCGTACCGGGCGGCGCCGACGGCGCCAAACAAAGCTGTCGTGATGCTGATAAAGCCGGAAAGAAGATAAATGTTCACGTTCGGCGCATAAACCAGCAGAGGAAAGCGAAAGAAGTCTGCATACATGCTGGTCATCAGGTGGCCCAACCAGAAACCCAGCAGCCAGCCAAGCAGCACGCCCAGGCCACTGATGACAATGACAAATTTTGTATAGTGCCAGGCCATCGTGGCGTTGCTGTACCCAAAGGCTTTAAGCAGGCCAATTTCGGCGCGCTCAATATAGACCAGGCGTGCCAGCACCATGTTTGTCAGAAATGCGGCCACTGCCAGGAAAATGGGAGGTAAAACGCCTGCAATGCTGCGCAGCTGTGCAATTTCGTTCATTACAAACCAGTTGGAAACCTGGTCATCCCGTGCAATAGCGCCGGTACCACCGTAGTTTTCTAACAATAAGTCGATGCTGCTCAGCGTTTGCGACAGTGAGGCATCAGGCCAAAGACTCACAGCCACATTATTAAATGCATGCTCAAGATCAAACGCGGCAGCGAGCGCCTCTTCACCCATCCATACCACGCCGTAGCGTGCTGCATCCGGCATAAGTGTGCCGGGTCCGATGGCGTAAACAAACTCAGGTGACAAGGCGATGCCAACAATTTTCAGGCTGCGTTTGCGGCCATTCAACAATGCCTTGAACCTATCTCCGGGTTGCAGGCTGTGCGCCTGCGCAAATGGTTCGCTGACTAACACCTCGTTGCTCTGGATCGCCACCGGCATGCGCCCGGCTCTAAGGGCAAGCTGGTTGAGCCTTGGCAGAGAATGTTCTGGTAGCGAGGTGAAAACCCCTGCAATGGGTTCGGCAAAGGACTCAACATCTATGGTGGCGTACTTAACGATACGACCTTCGGCAATTCTGACGCCAGGTAACGCTTCTATCTCGCGCAGGACCTTTCGCGGTGCCCGCGTGGCATCGGCAAAGACATCGGCAAACTGATACCGTTCATAATAGGCAGCTGCAGTATCGGTGAGCGCCTGCATTGCCGCCAGCGACATGACAAGTACACCAACGCCGCTCGCGACAATCAGCGCTATGGCCAGGCTCTGCCCGCGCAAACGCAGCAGATCTCGCTGTATTTTTCGATTCAGCGGGTGCACGGGCTACCACTCCAGCTCAGCGACTGGCGTACGTGTGTGGTTAGTGGACGTTTCCACGATACGGCCATCGGCAAAGCGCAAGACGCGATCAGCCATGCCGGAGATTGAACGGTTGTGCGTGATGAGTGCGGTTGTGGTGCCCAGTTCGCGGTTCACCTGTTCAATCGCGGCCAGTACCAGCACGCCGGTTTTACTGTCCAGTGCGCCGGTCGGCTCATCACACAAAAGCAGGTCCGGCTGCTTGGCAATGGCACGCGCAATGGCCACACGTTGCTGTTCACCGCCTGACAGCTCTGCCGGAAATGCGCGCAGACGATCACCCAGGCCTACCAGTGCTAAAGCGTCAGCCGGTGTCAGTGGTGCATCGGCGATTTCCGTCACAAGAGCGACGTTTTCCTCGGCAGTCAGGCTGGCGATGAGGTTGTAGAATTGAAAAACGAAACCAACGTGACGGCGCCGATATTGGGTCATGATCAGGTCGTTGCCTGTATCCAGCCGATCGTTTCTGAATTGCAGCGTTCCAGATGTCGGTGTATCTAATCCACCCAGAATGTTGAGCAATGTTGATTTGCCGCTTCCCGAAGCGCCCACCAGCACAACTAACTCGCCGGTAAAAAGGTCCAGGTCCACACCATCGAGGGCGCGAATTTCTGTTGCTCCGGCCTGGTAAACTTTGACCAGGTCCCGTGCCTGCAGTGTGATTTGCCCTGCCGAAGGTTGGGCTGCAACTTCGGACATGCCACCACATTCCTTTGTTCAAGTTCCTCCGATTGTCCTGTATTTCAATGATTGTTCTATTGGGGGAGCTACTTAGATGCAGCGGCCTGGCTGATTTTTCGAGTACAATTTCCGACTTTCTTGCTAACAAGGAGCGCCAATGTCCGCTGCAGATCAATATCCCCACCACAAAGTGGTTGTCATCGGAGCGGGTTTCTCTGGCCTGCTCTGCACCAGCTACCTGAAAGAGGCGGGGATCGAGGACGTTTGCCTTTTTGAAAAGAACACGTCTGTAGGTGGGGTCTGGAGTTACGGCGGTGTGGGCGCTTATCCCGGCGCAGCTTGCGATGTACCAGCCTACACTTACCTGCCGTTCCTTGATCGAACTGGTTTCATTCCGTCCAAGAAATATGTCAGCCAGCAGGAGATTGCCAGCTATGCAGAACTGTTGACCGACCATTGCGGCATTCGCGACAAGGTGCATTTTAATCGTAAGGTCATTGAGCTGCGCTGCATCAACGACGGCGAGCGCGTCTGGCAGGTGACCACTGAAGATGCAATCACCGGTGCGCCCGCTGAGATTGTTACCTGCCAGCACGTAGTTACCGCCAATGGCCCGCTGTCCAGTCCGCGCCTGCCGGAAGTTGCTGGCATGGCAGATTTTTGTGGCGAGAGTTTTCATACCGCTCAGTGGGATGCCAGTGCTGACCTGAAAGGCAAACGTGTGGGTGTGATTGGCACTGGCGCCTCTGCAGCCCAGGTGATTACCGCCATCTGTGATGATGTTGAACACCTCACCGTATTTCAGCGCACCCCCACCTGGTGTCTGCCACGGGATGATGAGCCCACCCCCCCGGAAATGATCGAAAGATTCAAAGCGGGTGGTTACAGTGAAGAGTTGCGCTATGTTGATTGGAAGGGAGAACTGCCGCCAGCAGAGGTCGCTTTCTCTTTTGATGACCTGCACGATGAACAGCGCAACGCTGCGATTTGTGCGGGCATCGCTGAACGGATCAAACAGGAGGTGGATGATCCCGAACTCGCTGAAAAGCTGACCCCGGACTATCCCTTTTTCTGTAAGCGTGCGTTGTTCATCGATGATTACTACACCACCTACAACAAACCCAATGTCACTCTGGTGGACGACCCCGGTGGTGTTGTGCGCGTTACCGAAAGCGGCGTGCAGATCGCTCGCGGGGAAACCTATGATGTTGATGTGATCATCTATGCCACCGGGTTTGACAGCAACTTCATTCCGTTTCCGATTATAGGTCGTGACGGCGTCACGCTGGCGGACAAGTTTGGTGCTAACGAGGCCAATAAATTTCAAATGACGCGCCCGCATTCTCTGTGGGGACTGCACGTTGACGACATGCCCAACTTTTACATGATGATCGGGCCACAAAGTCTGAACCCCGTGACCAATGTCACGCTGCTTTGTGAAGAGCAGTCAAAGTATATCAGTCAGCTGGTTGCACGCATGACTGCTGACGGAACCACTACGGTGGAGCCCAGCCAGGATGCCGTAGAACGCTGGACGTCACTTTGCGAGGCAAGTTCAGACGGCAAGGTGTGGCTGCGATGTAACAACTGGTACATGAAGTCCACCAAGAGTGATGCTGCTGCAGGGCGTGAGCGCTCCGCCGGCATGTGGATGGGGTCTTATGCTGACTATCTGAAACACGTGCTGGGCAATGAAGGGGGTAAACCTGAAGAACTGCTGAACTTTGCATGAGTGCGCAAGGCAGATTTAACGAGGCATATCAGCAAGCTGATCTAACAGCATAGGTCAGCTGCTATACGGGCATCAAATATAAAGCCTGGTTTTTTAGGCCGATTTGTCGGGCAATCTGCGCTGTAGAGGCTGAGATCAAGGAGCGCCGATGGCCGCTCTTGAGACCAGAATGCGCACCTGTATTACCTTCCTTTCAACCTCCTTCGTGATGATTTCATTCATACAGAAAGGAGATGCGTTATGAAAATAACCTACTTACCCACCAGAATATTTGCACTGCTGTTGTTGCCCCTTTTCGGAGCCCTGAGTGCCAATACCTTTGCTCAGGAAGCTGCGCCACCCGCCGTTGTTGAAACCTGGGCTTGTTCCTATGAGCCTGGAAAAAGTGCTAAAGACGTGATGACCGCGCGAGATTACTACCTCAAACAAGCCGATAAAGCAGGCTTAACACTCGGGCCGGCCTATATGTGGACACTATTGAAAGGTGATGTCGATTTCGACCTTTTATGGCTTGCCCCTCATGAAAACTTCATGGCGTTTGCGGCCTCCGCAGATGCTGAAGCGGCGGCAACTGAGATTGCCGATGTCCAGGCGCGTTTTGACGCGGTCATTAAATGTAAACCGAGACTGAGTACAATCATGCCCATGTTTCAACGTGAAGGTGCTGCAGATGGCGGTGCTGAAGCTAATGTCATTTCTACCAATGCCTGTCAACTGATGCCCGGTGTTGGTGCTGCTGAGATTCGCGACCTGGCATCACACATCAATGGTGTGCTGAGTGCTATGGGAGACAATACGCCCAGTGCTGTATATGCCATGGCATCCATGACAGGCGGACAGAATACGCCTGACTTTGTGCTTTTTACCGTGAACGAAAGCCTCACCAGTTATGGCAACTTTATGGGTGCTATCGGGGCAGACCCTGAGGGGCAAAGGCTGGGTCGACATTTCAATATGATGGGAGACTGCAATCTGGCCATGTGGACATCCCAACAAGTTATAACACCTGCCCCAGGGGAATAGCCTCTCTCCAAAGCAAAGCTCCTGATGGCAACATCAAGAGCTTTCAGCTTGATGCCCTGGCTCGCAGATGACGCTTCGCGTCAGGCTGATAGATGAGTTTAAACAGCGCTCAAACATCTAAACCACGTTCGTGGAATTGCTGGCACCGCATACACTGCGCACCAAGGTGGCCGCCAACAGCGGCACAATGATCACTAAAAAAGCAGCTGATCCACAGGTTGGATGGCGAACAATGAATTTTTCAACTCACCACGCCGAATAATTGCCCTACACCTGCGGTCAAAGCCATCGCCAGGGCACCCCAGAAAGTAACCCTGACCGCGCCGGTTATCATCGGTGCGCCACCCGCACGCGCGGCAATAACACCAAGCAGTGCCAGGAAGAAAAGTGACGATATTGCAATCGCAAGTATCTGCGAAGCGGCGGGCATTACCCATGCTACACACAGCGGCAACGCCGCCCCAACGGTAAACGTCCCGGCTGAAGAGAACGCGGCTTGAACGGGTTGAGCGGCGCCATTCGGCGAAATACCAATTTCATCACGCGCGTGAGCCCCGAGAGCGTCATGCCTCATCAGTTGATGTGCAACCTGTATTGCCAGCTCAGGCTCAACCCCTCTTTCTTCATATATCTTTGCCAGCTCCTTCTTTTCGAACATGGGGTTCTGCTCTAGTGATTTTCTTTCCAGCGCCAGATCTGCATTTTCAGTATCTGACTGAGAACTCACCGACACGTATTCTCCAGCAGCCATGGACATGGCGCCCGCAACCAACCCGGCAACCCCCGCGAGCAGAATGTTTTCCTGTGTGGTGCCCGCTGCAGCTACGCCAATAATCAGACTCGCTGTAGACACAATGCCATCGTTGGCGCCCAGTACCGCGGCACGCAGCCAACCCACACGATGTGCGCGATGCTTTTCGTCATGACTCATAAAAAATGCTCCATCAAATATCACCACCTATTACCGGTCAGAACTCGAGTATCACGCCACCTCAGGAGGTCTGCCACGCAAGATGTTTGCTCAATTCAGGTTCGGAAACGTTTGTGCAAATGCGCAACTGGCGGCCGTCGTTGAATCGGATCCTGCTTGTAGTATCGCTGAAGCTGCTCGTAGACGTGCGGATAGATCTCCCTTAAATGATGAGGGATCTGGAAGAACGCTTCGGTCATGACCGCAAAAAACTCAGCTGGATTGGTTGCGGCATAGGAATTGAACGGCGTCGGATGATGGTGATCAACGCGATGGCGTAAGTGCTCGAAGGCGTGAGTGAACGACCGCGACCAGTCTTCAACCGACATGCCGGCGGGCAGAGGCGGGAATCCGTTGCTCACGCCATTCATGAAGTCGAGTTTGTGGGCAAATTCGTGAAGTACCACGTTTCTTCCCTCTCCAGGCGCGGTGGCGCTCCGACGGGCATCTTCCCAGGAGAGCACAATGGGGCCGCTGCGACTCGTTTCCCCTTCCAGTGCAGCAATCTGTTCATGCACCACGCCTATGGCGTCTCGAAAGTTATGCCGGGTAACAAAAGGTCCCGGGTAAAGAATGATGGATGACCAGCCTGGATAGGGATGTGTCTCATGCGACGCTGTTCGATTCAGGATCAGCAGGCAGGCTTGAGCAGCAATTGCGACACGGACCTCATTGCTAATTTCCATCTCGTAGATACCAAAGAACTGTTTTCTTTGCATAAACAGGGTGGAAATCTCGCGCAGGCGCTCAAGCTCAGCAGGCGCAAGACCTGCCAACAAGTCGAGTTTGTCGATGACACAGGTCCACATTGTCGGGTCGATGGCGTGCCTCGCGACTAGACGCTTGCGATACCAGCGACGAATCTTTTTGCTGACCTGATCCAAAGCTAACCCTCCGAGTTGCACGCGCTGGATGATACAGCGGGCTGCATCGTTTACAGTGAAAGTTCGGGTTGTCCGAAAGTTATCCCTGTATGCACACGATTATCTCTCTTTGGCCTTTATGGCTGATAGTTGGTTTGTTCATCTGCACCGCCGTTGTGATCGGTTGGTTTGGCGTGCAGATGACAGAAGTGGCTCGTGATCTGGCCCACGCCAGCGGTATTGGTGAGGCAGTTATGGGGGCGCTGTTCATAGGAGCGGCGACCTCACTTTCAGGCATTACAACATCGGTTGTGGCCGCAAGCGAAGGATTCCCTGAACTGGCCATCAGCAACGCTTTGGGTGGCATCGCTGCACAAACTACTTTTTTAGCCATAGCCGACATTGTTTATCGTCGTGCCAATCTGGAACATGCCGCCGCGTCCGCTGAAAATCTGTTTATGACGGGATTGCTGATCACTTTACTTAGCGTTCATCTGTTAGGGGTTGCGGTTCCGGAGCTGGAGGTGTTCTGGATACATCCGGCTTCACTATTGCTGCTGGTGGTTTACATATTTGGTCTCCGTTTGCTTGCGCAAACTCACGAAACGCCGATGTGGCTACCTAGACGCACCAGTGATACGAATACGGAGCAGCAATCCCAATCAGGCAACTTGCAGAAAAGTCTGCCATTGATGTGGCTTAAGTTTGCCGCCTGCGCTCTAGTTGTAGCTGCAGCGGGTTGGTCGCTTGCGCAGTTGGCTGTGCCTTTAGCAGAACACACCGGTCTGTCCCAGGGGGTTGTTGGCGGTGTATTCACCGCAGTTGCTACATCGATTCCGGAATTGGTGGTTGCTGTGTCGGCGGTAAGGTTGGGCGCTTTAAATCTGGCGTTGGGCGACATCGTTGGCGGTAATGCGTTTGATACTCTGTTCATTGCTGCTTCAGACGCCGCCTACAGAGAGGGCTCCATATACAGTGCGTTCTCTCAAGACGAGATGTTCTGGCTCGCCAATTCGCTGTTGATGGCAGGTGTGCTGTTACTCGGGCTTATCTACCGGGAACGCCATGGGCCGGCAAATATTGGGATTGAGAGTCTGGTTATATTGGTCCTTTACGTGGCGGGCCTTGTCACGCTGTCTGTTGCGGTTTGAATTTGGCGCAGGGGCTCTTTGATAGATCACCACAATCGTTACAGCCCTAATGCCTCCTCGGCAGGTTTATGCATCAGACCGGTGGCGGCGGCCACCGACGCGTAGGTCACATGTCCGGCGTGCAGATTCAACCCATGGCGCAGGTGGATATCTGCAGCCATCGCCTGGTGCGCACCCTGGTTGGCCAATGCCAGCACGAATGGCAACGTTGCATTATTCAGAGCAAAGGCAGAAGTGCGTGCCACAGCACCCGGCATGTTGGCGACGCAATAGTGCACCACATCGTGGACTCTGTAGGTGGGATTGGAGTGGGTGGTTGGTTTCGAGGTGGCTGCACAACCGCCCTGGTCCACGGCAACATCCACCAGCACCGCGCTCTTTTTCATGTCCCGCACCATATCTTCGGTTACCAGTTTAGGCGTAGACGCGCCAGGTACCAGAACCGCGCCAATCACCAGATCCGCCTCTGCAACGCACTGTTGTAAAGCGTCCACAGTTGAGAACACCGTGTTAAGACCACCGCCAAAATGGGTATCCAGCTGGGTCAGGGTATGCAGGGAAATATCCAGGATGTTGACATCAGCTTCCATACCCAGAGCCACTCGGGCTGCATTGGCGCCAACCACGCCACCACCTAAAATGGTCACTTTGGCCGCTGGGGTGCCAGACACGCCGCCCATCAATATGCCGCGCCCGCCTTGCTCTATTTCCAGGCAGTGGGCGCCCGCTTGTACTGACATGCGTCCGGCAACTTCGCTCATGGGTGCCAGCAGGGGTAGTGCGCCAAACCGGTCGGTAACCGTTTCATAAGCGATGGCGGTGCAGCCTGTCGCCGCCAAATTGCGGGTCAGCTCTGCGTCGGCTGCCAGGTGCAGGTAAGTGAACAACACCTGTCCTTCACGCAGCATGGCCACTTCGGCTGGCTGTGGTTCTTTGACTTTTACAATGAGTTCGGCCTGGGCAAAAATTTCCTCAGCGGTTGCGCAGATCTGCCCACCGGCGCGGGTATAGTCCTCGTCGTGTAAGCCAATCACGTCACCGGCGAGATGTTCGACCAGTACTTTATGACCATGAGTGACAAGCTCTCTAACGCTGGCTGGTGTGAGGCCAACCCGATACTCGTCTGCTTTAATCTCCCTGGGTACGCCAATTAACATGTAAGTGCTCGCTGTTCAGTTTCTGGGCTGATTGGAACACGCCACTGCGCATTTGCGACTTAGGGACTTCCCCTAGTCGCCTATCGGTGCGATTTTCTAATATTCTGCTGATATGACCGAAAAGGCTAAACAGAACCGTAGACCTTGGCACAGTCTGCCGTTGGACGGCTGTTTTGCCGAGATTGGTGCATCCACTGAAGGGCTGACGGTATTGGAAGCTGCAGCGCGTCTAGAAGCGCATGGACCAAACCTTGTACAGGCAGAGCGCCAGCCCAGTCCGGTTAGACGCTTTTTCCGACAGTTCAACAATGTTCTGCTTTATGTGCTGATCGTGGCTGCGCTGCTCACAGCCCTGCTGGATCATTGGCTCGATACCGCGGTGATTGTCGCGGCGGTGTTCGTCAATGCCATCGTCGGTTTTGTACAGGAGGGCAGGGCGGAGCAAGCCATTCGTGCCATTCGCCAGATGCTGAGCACAAAGGTTTCCGTTAAACGGGCTGGCAGTTTTGTCGAAATCGATGCTCAAAAGCTGGTTCCCGGAGATGTCATTACCCTGCAGGCGGGCGACCGTGTGCCGGCTGATGCGCGGATTTTCGATAGCCGAAATGTGGAGGTTGACCAGTCAGTGCTGACGGGTGAATCGGTAGCCGTGGACAAACATGACGCCGATCTGGCGACGCAGGTGGACATGCAGGACCGTAGCAACATGGTTTATGCCGGCACATTGATGACGCGTGGTTCGACAAACGCTCTGGTGCTTGCCACCGGGGCCGAAACTGAAATGGGCCTTATTTCCGGAGCGTTACAAACCATCGAGTCTCTCTCGACGCCATTGCTCGATAAAATTTCGCTGTTTTCGCGGCGGATGTCGCTGTTAATTCTGGTTATCTCTGGTGGCGTTGCGTTGTTCGGCGCGTACATGCACGGCTATGCCCTGGCGGAGATGCTCATCGCAGCGGTAAGCATTGCGGTTGCTGCAATTCCTGAGGGGCTGCCGGCAGTCATTACCATCACGCTTGCCATCGGTGTGCGTAAGATGGCGCGGTGTAATGCCATCGTGCGCCGCCTGCCAGCGGTGGAAACCCTGGGGGAGGTCGATGTCATCTGTACTGACAAGACCGGTACGCTGACAGCCAACGAAATGACCGTACGTGTGGTACTCACGGCAGCAGGGAAACATATCGTCAGCGGAGTCGGCTATAGCGAGCCAGGAGAGATCAGCGCGGACAATGGTGAGCGCGCGTCTGCCCTGATTGCGGAATTAGCAACCGCCGGGGTCTGCTGCAATGACGCTCGCGTGGATGTTGATGCCCACGACGACAGCGTAGTGGGTGATCCCATGGAAGCGGCACTGATTGTGTTGGCGCGTAAAGCAGGGATCGACAGCGAAGCAACCCAGGATGCTCTGCCCCGCATCGACTTGATACCGTTTGAATCTGAACAGCGCTTCATGGCGACCCTGCACCGCACTGCTGATGATGGCGGTGTGCTGTATGTCAAAGGCGCACCGGAAACGGTGCTTACATTCTGTGTGTCCGAGTTAACTGTTGATGGGTCCCAGCCCATCTCGATGGAGCGTTGGCACACGGGTGTTTCTGATCTGGCCTGCAGTGGCCATCGGGTGCTTGCGCTGGCGCGGTACGAGTTGGCCCAAGCATCCACCAGTATTGAAGATCTGGGCTGGCAGGGTAAGTTGCAGCTGCTGGGTGTGATCGGCGTCGTTGACCCGCCACGTGCGGAGGTTGCTGAGGCTTTAATCCGCTGCCGGGGTGCTGGTATCGAAGTCAAGATGATTACTGGTGATCATGTAGAAACCGCCTTGGCCATCGGCGGCGATTTGCAACTGGCGGAGAACCTGACGGTGATCAGTGGCGATGCGCTTGATGGCATGAGTCCGTCCGCTCTGGATCAGGCGGCGGTGGACAACCACATCTTTGCGCGCACCAGTCCGATGCACAAGCTGTTGCTGGTACAGAGCCTGCAGAAACAAGGGCACATCGTGGCCATGACGGGTGATGGGGTAAACGATGCTCCGGCGCTTAAACGTGCCAATGTGGGTGTGGCGATGGGGCGTAAAGGTACCCAGGCCGCGCGCGATGCGGCACATATGGTGCTGGCGGATGACAATTTTGCCTCCATTGTCGGTGCCGTTGAGGCCGGCCGCATTATTTACGACAACATACGCAAAAGTGTGGTGTTCCTGTTGCCGACCAGCGTTGCCGAAGCGCTGGTCATTGCTATCGCGCTGATATTTGGTTTGCAGCTGCCCATGACCCCGGCGCAGATCTTATGGATTAACATGATCACTGCGGTCACGTTGGGTGTTGCGCTGGCTTTCGAGCCTGGTGAGGGATCTGTCATGCAGCGCCCGCCGGTTCCCTCGCGTGAATCGCTGATGAGTCCGATGGTGTTGTGGCGTACTGCGTTTGTCAGCCTGTTGATGTTTTCAGGCATCATGCTTGTGTTCACCCTGGTATCTACTGACCACTCTGTGGAATACGCGCGCACGGTTAGCGTGAACACCCTGGTACTGTTTGAGATCGTCTACCTTCTGAATGTAAGGCACCTGCAGTACTCGTCGATGAGTATGTCCGGCTTGCTGGGCAACCCGGTATTGTTTGGCGTCATTGGCGTGGTGATATTTCTGCAGTTGTTGTTTACCTTCACGGCACCCTTTCAACTCCTGTTTGAATCCAGAACGCTGGATGTGCAGACCTGGGCCCTTATCGGGCTTGCCGGGGTGGCGCTGTTTTTAATTGTCGAGTTGGAAAAAGGCCTGCGGCGGTGGCTGATGCGGCGAGCCTGACTGGCTGTGGGATTCACGTATTGCCCGCTTGGTCGGTAGTGTTAACGTCAAGTGCAGGTTTGCAAGCGGGTATACATATTGGTAGACAATGCGTGGCAGGCAGTGTCGGCGACGTTCACCCGGGACGGCTCGCTCAACATCGCTGAGGTGGCGTTAGACCGGCAAATCGCTGCAGGACATGGCAACGATGTGGCGATCAAATTTCTGCGTAAAAATGGCAGCGCCGAATCTATCTCTTATGCTGAATTGACAGCCGCGACGGCGTGCTTCGCCAGTGCGCTGGATGCGCATGACGTTGCGCGTGGTGGTCGGGTGTTCAGCTTGCTGGGGCGAGTTCCGGAACTGTATGTGACCGCACTCGGCACGCTGCGCCGCGGTGCTGTGTTTACCCCTTTGTTTTCCGCGTTTGGTCCGGAGCCGATTCGCACCCGAATGGAAATTGGCAGCGCTGACGTGCTGGTGACCACCGCATCATTGTTTCGCCGCAAAGTCGCGTCGTGGTTTAAGCAGCTCGACAGCTTGAAACACGTCATCATTATTGATGGCGAACCTGATGATGCCCCCGCTGGTACCCTGCATTACAGCACCTTCATGGATGCCGGCGTGCTGGACTATCCGGCAGTGGCCACTGCGCCAGATGACCTGGCTCTGATTCATTTCACCAGCGGCACCACAGGCAGACCCAAAGGTGTTATGCATGTGCATGAAGCGGTTGTCGGGCACCATGTCTCAGCGGCTGCGGCCTTAGATATGCATCAGGGTGACAGGTACTGGTGTACGGCAGATCCGGGTTGGGTAACAGGTACGTCCTACGGCATCATTGCGCCACTGACCCATGGCGTGCATCTGCTTGTTGATGAAGCGGAATTTGATCCACGGCGCTGGTATCAGATACTCGCTGAGGAGCGGGTGAATGTCTGGTACACAGCACCCACCGCGATCCGCATGCTGATGAAAGCAGGTCTGGAGCTGACCCGTGAACACCAATTTCCGGATCTCCGTTTTATGGCCAGTGTCGGTGAGCCGCTTAATCCTTCCGCAGTACTCTGGGGGCAGGAAGCGTTCGGCCAGCCGTTTCACGACAACTGGTGGCAGACGGAAACCGGCTGCATCATGATTGCTAACTGCCCGGGGGAAGAAGTAAAACCGGGCGCAATGGGTAAGGTGCTGCCGGGTGTGGAAGCTGCGGTTGTCGCGCAAAACGCTCCGAGCGAACAGCTGGGCACCGATCAAGTTGGAGAACTTGTGCTGCGCAAAGGCTGGCCGTCAATGATGCGCGGTTACATAAATGAGATGCAGCGTTACGAACGCTGTTTCTCGGGTGATTGGTATCAAACCGGGGATCTGGTTAAACGTGACGTGGACGGGTATTTCTGGTTCATCAGTCGCGCTGACGACGTCATTCAGTCCGCCGGTCATTTGATCAGCCCGTTTGAAGTGGAAAGCACATTGCTGGCCCATGCTGCGATAGCGGAAGCTGCGGTGATCGGATTGCCGGACGAAACCATGGGTGAGGCGGTGGCGGCATTCGTGGCGGTCAATCCCGGTTACCAGTGGGATGAAACCCTGCAGCGAGAAGTCATGGCCCACGCGCGTAAACGCCTGGGTCCATCAGTGGCACCGCGCAGCATCGAGTGTTTACCCGAGCTGCCGCGCACCCGTAGCGGCAAGATCATGCGCCGTCTGGTGAAAGCGCGGGTCCTGGGTTTGGAAGAAGGCGATACCTCGACTTTGGAAACTGTTGAAAATGACTAACCCGGACGCATTACGCATCGGTCGCGAACTATCACTTGAGCTGTTAGCTCAAATGGTGCGCATCCGCAGGTTTGAAGATAAGTGCGCAGAACTCTATAGCCAGGAAAAGATTCGCGGCTTTCTCCATTTATACGATGGTGAGGAAGCGGTGGCGGTTGGCATCATCCCGAATCTCGAAGCACGCGACGCGGTTGTCGCAACCTATCGCGAACACGGACATGCCCTGGTACGCGGTGTGTCGATGACTTCGATTCTGGCTGAAATGCTCGGCAAACAAACCGGCTGCAGCCGCGGTCGCGGCGGCTCAATGCATTTGTTTGATCGCGCCACGCGGTTCTATGGTGGCAATGCCATTGTAGGCGGTGGCCTGCCCATGGCCGTGGGTCTCGCGCTGGCCGCAAAGATGGCCGGGCGTGACGAGGTGGTGGTGTGTTTCTTCGGCGAAGGTGCGGTTGCAGAAGGAGAGTTTCACGAAAGCCTCAACCTGGCACAACTGTGGCAGCTGCCGGTGTTGTTTGTCTGCGAAAACAATGGTTACGCCATGGGCACGGCGTTATCACGGTCTGAATCTGAGATTGACCTGGTGAAGAAGGCCGAGAGTTACGACGTGTCTGCCCAGAGTGTGGATGGCATGGATGTCATTGCCGTGACGTTGGCTGCACGTGCCGCTGTGGCTCAAGTACGAGCAGGTCAGGGGCCGGTGTTTTTAGAGTGCAAAACCTACCGTTTCCGCGCCCATTCCATGTTTGATGCACAAAAGTATCGTGACAAAGCCGAGGTGGAAGAGTGGCGCCAGCGGGGCCCGATAGTGCGTTTTCAGAACTGGCTGATGGATTCACATGTTATCCATCAAAGCGACATCGATGAGATTGAGGCGCGCGTGATGGCAGAGATTGACAGCGCAACAGCCGCTGCGGAAGAGGCCCCGTTCGAGTCGGTTGATCAATTGTATGAACACGTTTACGGGGTTGGCAGTGATGTCGTCTGAGCTCACTTATCGGGAAGCCGTACGAGAAGGTATGTGTGCTGCTATGCGGGCTGATGAGCGCGTGTTTCTCATGGGTGAAGACGTCGGCCGCTACGGCGGATGTTATGGCGTCAGCGCAGGCATGTTGGAGGAGTTTGGAGATGAGCGGGTACGCGATACCCCGCTGGCGGAGTCTGGTTTCACCGGTGCCGGCATCGGTGCCGCCATGGGCGGCATGCGCCCCATTGTTGAGCTGATGACGGTTAACTTCAGTCTGTTAGCTCTGGATCAGATCATGAACACGGCGGCGACCGTGCGGCACATGTCCGGCGGGCAGTTTGGTGTGCCCATCGTTATTCGCATGGCCACCGGTGCGGGTAAACAACTGGCGGCTCAACATTCCCATAGCCTGGAAGGTTGGTATGCACACATCCCGGGTCTGAAAGTGGTTGCGCCTGCCACCGTTGAAGATGCGCAGGGTATGCTGCAGGCAGCCCTGGATGATCCCGATCCGGTGCTGATTTTTGAAAATGTCATGTTGTACAACACAAAAGGTGAGGTAGGTGATCCGTCGGCTGTACAGCTGGAAGGAGCGGCAGTTCGTCGTCCTGGCGCCGACCTCAGCTTGCTGACCTACGGCGGCTCGCTGTTCAAGGCTCTGGCTGCAGCGGAGCAACTGTCCGGGCAGGGACTGGATGTGGAAGTGATCGATCTGCGCTGTCTGCGCCCGCTGGATGATGCAACCATCATGGCGTCGGTGAGTAAAACCCGGCGTGCCCTGATTGTTGATGAAGGCTGGCGTTCGGGCAGTCTGGCTGCGGAAGTTTCGGCGCGCATCATGGAGCAGGCATTCTGGTCTCTGGACGCGCCGGTAGAGCGTGTGTGCAGTGCAGAGGTGCCTATTCCTTACGCCAAACATATGGAAGCGGCCAGCATTCCCCAGGTTGAGACCATCGTCGCAAAAGCTCGTGCGATGTGTATGTCCGCATGAGCCTGTTTCGCATGCCGAGTCTCGGATCTGACATGGAATCGGCAACCTTGATTGAATGGCTTGCGGCCCCAGGTGATCAGGTCAAGCGAGGTGATCTTATTGCCGTGGTGGAAACCGACAAAGGTGCCATCGAAATCGAAGTGTTTGAGGATGGTGTGTTAGAGCGCTACCTGGTAGAGCTCGACAGTGAGGTTGCGGTGGGTGAGCCGCTGGCAGAAATTCGCACCGGCGCGATGGAAATGGACGACGTCGCGCAGACGGAAGTTGCCACAGAAACCCCCGTACACGAATCTGGCGATGTCCCGGCTCCGGCGGTACCCGCACCGCCACCACCACAAGGCGGGCAGCGCGTTTCTCCCGCCGCGCGACGCCTGGCTGCGGAACAGGGTGTCGACATCAGCACGCTGCATGGATCAGGGCCTGCAGGTGCCGTGGTCTATGCAGACGTGCAGGCAGCGGTTGAACCGGGGCAGACTGCCACCGCAAAAGAGGCAGCAGCTGAAGACGACCCGGCTGCCAAGATGCGCCGCGCCATCGCCGCCGCCATGGCCCGTGGCAAACGCGAAATACCCCATTATTACCTGAGTACAACAGTGGATGTGGAGGTGGCCATGCAGTGGCTGGCTCAGACCAACGAAGAGAAACCGCCCGCGGAGCGCATACTGGCGCCTGCGCTGTTTATTAAGGCCACTGCAGTTGCGCTGTCCAGGTATCAGGAATTCAACGGCGCTTATGTGGATGACACCTACACTGCAAGCCCGCGCATCAACGTGGGTGTTGCCATTGCTATCCGCGGTGGCGGGCTGGTTGCACCTGCTATCCACGATACAAATGAACTTTCCCTTGAACAGGTGATGGCGGGACTGCGCGACCTGACACAACGGGTGCGCGCCGGACGCTACCGGGCGTCAGAATTTCGCGACCCCACGGTGACCGTCACCAGTCTCGGCGACCGTGGTGTTGAGTCGGTGTTTGGCATCATCTATCCACCCCAGGTGGCCTGTATTGGATTTGGCAAAGTGGTTGACCGGCCCTGGTCGATGTCTGACCGTTCAATTGTCTCCCGGCACACTGTCGGTATCAGCCTGTCAGCAGATCATCGGGTCAGCGACGGGCGTCGGGGGGCGCTGTTGCTGAACACAATTGCTGAGCTGCTCAACAATCCCCAACAACTTTAATGGAGGTTCAGATGTCGAAAGAAGATCTGCGCAAGGTGTTGCTGGACGTCATGGATGAGGTTGCCCCGGGTTGCCTGCCTGACGTGATCGACGATGACGAGGATATTCGCGAGCAAATGGACCTGGATTCCATGGATTTACTCAACATTGTTGCCGGCCTGCATGCCCGTCTTAACATCGACATTCCGGAAAGCGATGTGGAACAGATTGTTACCATTAATCGTGCGCTCGCGTACCTCAGCAGGTAGGCGAACCTCGTCTTGTGACAATGCAACGTAGAAAGATAGTCATTTGTGGCGCAGCCGGCAGGGACTTCCACAATTTTAATGTGGTCTATCGAGACGATGCCACGGTTGAAGTTGTCGCCTTTACGGCAGCGCAGATCCCGGGGATTGCGGAACGACAATTTCCAGCAAGTATCGCCGGGCCGCAGTATCCGGCTGGTATTCCCATATGGCCGGAAGCGCAGTTACAACAGCTGTGTCTGCAACATCAGGTGGATGAGGTGGTATTCGCTTACAGTGACGTGACACGCGACCATGTCATGGACATTGCAGCAGCAGCGTTTGCTGCGGGCGCAAACTTTGCGTTGCTTGGCCCGAAAGCCACTATGCTCGAAACACACAAGCCGACGATTGCAGTGTGCGCCGTCCGCACCGGTTGTGGTAAGTCGCAGATTGCCCGCTACATAGCCCGGCAATTGACTGATGCAGGTAAAAACGTCGCGGTCCTTCGTCACCCAATGCCCTACGGTGAGCTTGCCAAACAAACCGTGCAACGGTTTCAGAGCTTTGCGGACCTTGACGAGGCCAATTGTACGGTCGAAGAACGGGAAGAATACGAGCCTCACATCGCCAGCGGCGGTGTCGTTTTTGCCGGCGTGGATTACAAAAAAATTCTGCACGCGGCGGAGGTAGAAGCAGACGTTGTTTTGTGGGATGGGGGCAATAATGACCATCCGTTTATTGAGCCTGGCTACAACATTGTTGTCGTGGATGCGCTCCGGCCGACGCAGCTGACCACCCACTATCCGGGTGATTCAGTGCTGTTACGTGCAGACCTTATCGTTGTCAATAAAGTGGATGCCGCATCGCAACAACAAGTGGCCACGCTGCAACGCGAACTGGACAGGATTGTGCCTCGTGCAGACAGGATTTTCGCGGCTTCGCCGGTGCGCATCGATACGCCGGAACGTCTGGTTGGCGCGCGAATTATGATCATCGAAGATGGCCCGACGATTACACATGGGGGTATGCCCCACGGGGCTGGTTTTCAAGCAGTGCGTAATCTCAACATCGGCCAGATTGTTGATCCGCGAGAATTTGCTACCCCGGAAATCGCCGCGGTTTTTGCGCAGTATCCTCATATCGGTCCGGTGTTACCGGCAATGGGCTACAGTCGTGCGCAACGCGAGGCGATGGCGGAAACCATAAAGCGGTCTAAGGTAGATGCGGTAGTGTCCGGCTCACCCATCGATCTGGCCCATGCGCTGGCGCTTGAGGTCCCGGTTGTTCGCGTCCACTACGAATATCAGGATACGGGCAAACCCGCCCTGATGGACTTCGTGGAGACCTATCTTGCCGCCTGCAGCTGACCAGGCACCGCTCATTGTTCTGGCCATCGGTGGACATGGGTTGAGCCATCCCGGTGAGGCCGGTTACGGTGTCGAGCGTGGGCGTATCAATCAACTTAAGCAGACGCTGCACGCGCAGGCATTTCAGGGCGTGCGATTGCTTGTTGTACATGGCAATGGCCCGCAGGTAGGTCGTCTGCTGCGGGACGACGGCGATATTGCCGATCTGGATATTCACACAGCACAGACTCAAGGCGAGCTGGGTTATCTCCTTGCCCAGGCAATGCCGAAACCCACTGTTGCCATCGTGACACGTGTGACGGTTGCGAATGAACCAGGCCCCCCCATCAAACCCATTGGCGCCATTTTGCCGTTCTACCCGGCTGATCAGCACTGTGTGCAGGTTGCAGGAGGATGGCGCTTGTTAGTGCCGTCACCAAAGCCGCAAGAAGTTGTCGAGTTGGATGCCATCAGGCGTCTGTTGCGCAGCCACCACGTTGTTGCAGCGGGCGGTGGCGGCGTGCCTGTTACTATCGCGGGTGAGCCCCTCAATGCCGTCATAGACAAAGATTGGGTGGCGGCGCAGTTAGCTATCGCCCTGCAGGCGGAACTTCTGGTGTTTGCCACTGATGTTGATTACGTCTACGCAGACTATGGCGCGGTACAAGCCAAAGCCCTGCCTGAACTCGACAGTCCGGCTTGCAGGAAGCTGCTTGCGTCGGGGTCGCTGGATGCGGGATCTATTGCGCCAAAGCTTGCAAGCGCGCTCGAATTTGTAGAAGCAACAGCAAAACGCGCCTGTATCTGTGCAGTTGAGGACATAATTGCCGCGTTCGAAGGTAAGGCGGGGACGCAGATCAGCGGTCTCCAGCAAAATTAACCCACCTTTTCTTACAGCGCTATCTCCCACGTCGTGAGTTGATCGAAACTCAGTTCCCACTCAGCTGTAATGCGGCACATACATGTAACTCGCAGCCGCAGCGCAAAGGTCCTGTTCTGGCTGGCGTGTGGCGTACCCTTGCGCGTGTGCCACGTCTGCAACTGCCGCCGCAACAGCAACGGCGACGTCACGCATACCAGCAGCGGGAGGGAACAATCTGCCCTGTTCCAGATCAGCTGCAGATACACAATCTGCCAGTGCGTGGGCAGCGGCCAGAAACATCTCGTCGCTGACCTGTGTTGCACCGGCGAGCAGCAGGCCAAGGCCGACGCCTGGAAATACATAAAAGTTATTACCCTGCCCGGGCGAATAGGTTTGCGTCTCATAGGTGACCGGAGGAAACGGACTGCCGCTGGCAAACACCACTCGCCCCTGGGTCCAGGCAAACGCCTGCTCGGCGGTGCACTCGGCCTTAGAGGTCGGGTTCGACAGCGCAAAGACAATAGGTCGATGGTTGATGCGCGCCATCGCAGACAGCATGTCCTCATCGAACCTTGCGCCCACCCCGCTAGCACCGATGATGGCCGTGGGGGCAAAATCTTCGATGACGGTTCTGGTGTCAGTCGTGTGTGCGCGGTCCTGTGCAAAAACAGACTTCCACGCCGGCAGATCAGTACGGCTTGTTACGACGAGGCCACGCGAGTCCATGAATAAACATCGTGCCTTGCTCTGCGCTGCCGAAAGGCCTTCATGCTGCATGGCTGCTACAACGGTCCTTGCAAAGCCAAGGTTGGCCTCGCCGGCGCCAACAAACAGTATTCGTTGTTCAGCCAGGCCCTGCCCTGTAATGCGTCCCGCAGAGTATAAGCCAGCAAGTCCCATCGCGCCGGTGCCTTGCACATCGTCGTTAAAACAGCACAGCGTGTTGCTGTAACGATCCAGCAGTCGGAACGCGCTTGCGTTGTTGAAATCCTCAAATTGCAGGATAGTCTCTGGGAATACAGTCTGCACAGCAGACACAAATTCCTCGATGAATTCATCGTAGGGTGCGCCTGTCAGGCGCGCCTGGCGTTCACCCAGATACAGCGGATCATTTCGCAGCGAAGCATTGTCGGTACCAACATCAAGAGCAATCGGCAGGCAGATTTCCGGCGCAATGCCGGCACACGCCGTATACAGCGACAGTTTGCCGATCGGTATACCCATACCGTTTGCCCCAAGATCACCGAGACCGAGGATGCGCCCCCCATCGGTGACTACAATGACGCTCGCCTGCGGGCGAGGCCAATTTTCGAGCACCTCAGCTACGCGCCCGCGGTGCGCAAATGCCGAGATGTAGAGTCCCCGTGGCCGTTCATAGATACGACTCCACTGAGTGCAGGCCTCGCCCACTGTAGGTGTATAGATGATCGGCAGCATCTCCTCCAGGTTGTCGAGCACAACGTGATAGAAGAGCGTCTCGTTTTCATCCCGCAGCGCGCTGAGATAACTATACTTATCGAGGGGGTTGTGCTGATCGCGGAGGTTGCTGAGCACGCGTGCTGCCTGTTCAACAAGCGACTCCACACGCGGTGGCAGCAATCCTTCAAGTTGCCGGGTACGACGATCATCCGCCGAAAAACCAGTGCCTCTATTGATCAACGGATCACACAATTCAGCAGCAACGCGGGGCGATGAATCCGAACCGGTTATACGGGCCATGGGTTATTCCTCTTCAGTTTCGAGCCTGTCACCGACCTGATCAGGGCCTTTCGGTTGTCGGCTGCTCGACCTGTGGCGTATTCATTTGCGACAGTACTTCGCTCAAAACCTGCAGCTGCTTAGCCGCATCCAGAAAGCGCTGCTCGCCAAGTGCAGCCAGGTAGGCATCAAAAGCGCCCCTGGCCGCGCTTGCAAGTTCTGCCATAGACCCATCGTTTGAAGGTTTGGCTTGCATGGCAATCGGCTCATCAGCAAACAAGCCGAGCAGTGCTTCTTCAAAGGTCTCCGCATAACTCAGGGTATCGCCCTGCATGACTGCAACGAGACGCAACTCCGGGTAGGCAGCCGTATCGGCACGCAAATAGATGGGCTCGACGTACAACAGCGAGTCGTCAACAGGAATGGCCAATACATTGCCGCGGATCACTTCTGAGCCCTGCTGGTTCCAAAGCGTCAACTGTCCAGAAAGAAAGGCATCCTGATCGATCTTGGTTTCCACCTGTTGCGGTCCAAGCACCCTTTTCTCCTTGGGGAACTTGTATGCGATAAAACGGCCGTAATTGTCGCCGTCCGATAGGGCCGCAATCCATCCGATCAGCACCTGTCTGTTCTTTGGTGTGAACGGCAGGATCAATACAAATTCGGCCTGATCCGATCCCGGCTGCTCCCACATGACATAGTAGGGTTCCACGGGTTTGACATCCTGATAATGCTTTTCGGTTGCACGAACCCAGACATCCTCCTGGTTGTAGAACACCTCTGGATCGGTCATGTGATAGCGGGCGAAAATGAGACCTTGAACCAGCAGCAGGTCCTGGGGATAACGCACATGTGCGCGCACGCTCTCTGGCATTGCCTGCCTGGGTTTGAAAAGCCCGGGAAGGGCACGTTGCCAGGCGTTAATTATTGGATCATCCGGTTCAAAAACATATAGATCAACACTACCGTCATAAGCATCGACGACAGCTTTGACCGAATTTCTGACATAGTTTTCACCGTGCAGACGCCGCACTGTGCGTTCACCGATTTCCGGACCACGGAATTCAATCTGTTCATGGGATTCAAAGGGCTGGCTGTAGGGAAAATAACTGGAGCTGGTAAAAGCGTCGACAATCCATACCAGCCGACCATCGACCGCGGCAATATACGGATCCTGATCAAAGACCAGGAACGGCGCGATCTTGCGCACACGTTGCTGGATCTGACGGTTATACAAAATCCGACTTTGCTCGTGTGGGTAGCTGGACAGCAAAAGTACAGTACCGTCGAATTTCCAGCCAAACAGGAACCTTCGCCAGAAACTGTCGAGGACTACGCCGCCTGTGCCGGAATAGTGCGTGTATACGTTTGTTTCGCCACTCGGATAGTCGAACTCCGGTTCAGACGTGTTGACCACCGCAGGCTCCGACGTGAGCTCACCATAGTAGATACCCGGGCGCTTAACGCGCAGTGCCTCGTCGCTGGTGACAGGTGGTATGTCTTTGACTAACAGATTTGGTAACCCTTCGGGTGTGAAGTCGCTCACTGGAGCGAGCGTATAACCGTAGCCATGGGTGTACTTGAAGCGTTGGTTCACGAACGTCTGGCTGCGCTCGGGAAGGTTACGTTGCGCGAGTTCTCTAGCGGCAACCATGACCTGTCGGTAACGATCGCCAATCTGGTAACGGTCGATATCCACGTCAACAAACTCGTAATACAGCCGGATTTCCTGAAACTGTTTATACACGGCATCCAGCGCTCGCCAATCCCACAAACGCACCTCGGACAGCAGGTGCTGGTTGTCCGCGGCTGAAGCCTCCGTCAGCCTGGCTTCCGCTGCAAACTGTCGTTCTTCGATCTCATCCAGTTTGAAAGCCTTGCGCGTGAACTCAATGTTGCGCTTGATATACGGCACTTCGAACGTGATTTCATTGGGTTTAACAACCAGCCACTGCACAAGCTGTGGCGCTGCCACAACCAGAACCAGCCATAAACCGCCAATGACCGTCCATGCACCTAAAACCGCCATGAGCGTTGGCGGCCCTATAGGCAATCGTCGTTCGACAAGATGGGTCATGAATCTGCGAAAACGCGGACTTAACGGCAGCGTGCCGGCGATAAGAAATATCACACCTAACAACAACAGTCCGGGTAAGCGTACATAAACGTCGGTCCAGCCAGGTCCCAGGACGACACCCATTTGTGAATACAACAGGTGGAACACACTTAGAGCAGCACCAAAGGCAAACACAACAGCAAGTAACAAGCTCGCCAGTGGAATCAGTAGAGGTGTTGCCGGGGCTGTATAGGGCGCCTTGAAATTGATTAATCCAAAACTGTCCTCGCGCAGAAACAGCACCACGCCGAGTAAAATGAGGGCGACAAACAGGCCAAGACCAAACAGGCTGTCCAGCAACGGCAATGTGAAGAGATAGAAGCTGACGTCGAAACCCAGCATGGGTTCAACCACACCGGCAGGTTCACTATTGAGATACAGAAGCACCAGTCGCCAGGATGCCAGGCCCCACACGATTCCTCCGGCGGCGGCCAGTGTGATGGCCAAACGCCGCAAGTGCGGACCAGAACGTCGTAACAGAATGAACGGTGCGATAGCGGCAAGGATTGCACCAGCGGCCACTACAAAAACAGGTGTCAGCGTAAACGTCCAGAAACGATGCACATATCCCAGCGCGTCGTACCAGAGGTATTCTGCCCAAATGGTCATCAGTGCAACCAGCAGGACCGCGCCTGCGATCAACACAGAACCGAACCAGACGCGCAACTTTCTTTTATGGGCAGTGGTAATCAACCACAAACCAATGCCCAGCAAGCTCCCCAGTAACAAAACGTACATAGACTGCCGCTCCAATCAGAATACCAACCTCTCACTAGACCGCGAGCGGGTACACTGTGTCTTCTACGTATTTTGGTCAGTCGCAGCGTAGTACCTTAGCGCCCAGAGTAGGGTGGAATTTCAACGCGCGGAGCGCTTCATTTGCCTGTTCCAGCGGGTAACAGACCACTTCCGGGCGTATATCGGCTGCCGCGGCCAGGGGCAGAAATTCAGCAATGTCGGCACGTGTAATATTTGCAACGGATTTGATTTCACGCTCCATCCACAGGTGTCTGGCATAAGACAACAGTTGCAGCGCGGTCTGATCGCGACTCTCCTTGCGAATGGCATTGATGACCAGGCGTCCGCCCGGAGCCAGATTCTGCAGCGCCTGCACAATCGGTAGCCACGCCGGTGTTGTATCAATGATTGCCTGCATCGGCACAGGTGGCGTCTCGTTATGTGCACCTGTCCAACTGGCACCCATATCCCTGGCAAAACCCCGCGTTGCATCTGTGCGGGCGAAAACGAATATCGGCGAATCGGGCAGGCAGTGCTGGGCGAGCTGCAGGACAATATGTGCGGATGCGCCAAAGCCGCACAGCCCAAGTGGCTGGCCGTTCTGCACGCCTGTCAGCTTGAGCGCGCGATAACCGATAGCACCGGCACATAACAGCGGCGCGGCTTCAGCGTCACCATACACTTCGGGAATCGGCACCGCATAACGCTCTGGTACCGTCATGAACTGTGCATATCCGCCGTTAGTGTCGCAGCCGGTTGCAACAAATGTATCAGCAAGATTTTCGAACTCAGTGCCGTCGGACTGATGAATCCAGCCGACACCAACGCGATCTCCCAGAGCATAGTTGGTTGCCTGTGCACCACATTCTGCTACTTCCGCGATAACCTGGTGGCCGGGGATAACAGGCAATTCAGGCGGTGGCAGCCGACCTTCAATCTCGTCCAGCTCGGTGTGGCATACGCCACAGTAATGCACCCGGAGTAAGATTTCGTGGGCTTGCGGTTCCGGGATGGGCATCTCTACAAGACTCAGGGGCTCACTGTTTGCTGTGATTCTGCTGAGTTGTCTAAGCAGCATGGCTTTCATGACATTACCTGTATGGCCCAATCGTCGGCTGGATTGACGGTGATCATTTTTTTGTCTGCGAACTGCCAAGGGTAATGCTTGCGCAAATTCAGCGCGATATCACTTTGGGATTCCCCTTATACGTGCTGGCAGATCCGTAATGGGAATTTCAAGATTCCTGATGAGGCCGAATAATTTTCAGCGGCCTCAGGAAAGAACCATGACTGATATCGAAATCGCAGGGACCAAGGTGGACAATGGCTGTTGCGGCAGATTGAAAGCCGCCCTATCCCTGTGGGTTCAGCCGAATCGTGAAGTCGCCGGTGAAGCTGCTGTAAGGTGTATCCTCGACAAACACCTGGGTACTCAGGTTGAGTCTGAGTTTGCCGGTATTGCGCAGTTGCTCAAAATCATTGAGATGTTCTGCAATGCTGCAGCGAGTCAAGATGGTTTCGCGGATCGGTTGATCGAATTCTATCTGCCCGGATGCGTGGATAATTGAGCCCTGCAGGTTCTCCCTGGTCAGGGCCAGATAAATTGTGCTCCAGGCGGTGAGTGCCTGGATCGCATACAGGCTGCCACCGAAGGCTGAACCGTGTGTGTTGGTATTAGGTGCCAGCGCTGCTGCAGTGGTTAGAATGTGATCTTCGAAAGTCTCAGCCCGCATCTGCATGGCATTAGACAAAGGAAAATCCGATTGCCAGAGTTGTTGTAAGTGTTGGCATAGTGCGGTGGGGTCAGTCATCTTATGAATTTCTTAGCTGGCGGAATAGGAGAGCAAGCGTTGTGATCAGCGTTAACATGGTAGCGGCTAATGTCTATGAAGTAGTCATTGAAGGCGCCAATGAGACAATCCACCGCGTGCATATGTCTCAGGAATATTATCGAAAGCTGTGTGGTGCAACGGTTACTCATGAATTTGTTCTGGTTCTAGCGTTCAGATTTTTGTTAGAGCGCGAGCCAGGCACAGCTATTCTCCCGGAATTTGATGTGCAGGACATCAATAAATATTTTCCGGAGTTTGAAGCCGAGCTGATCTCGCGCCTGGATCGCTGAAGCTACCAACGATTCCAATGAGTGATTTCAGCAACCGGAGCACGCTTGGCGCGCTTGAAGTCCGTGCCGATGGTGTAGGCAACCGGTAACAAGGCAACCTGTAACACATCATCTGGCAGGCCGAGGATTTCGGCAGCCTCTTCCTGGTGCATCAGGTGCAATGTGGTTAATGCTGAACCGAGGCCTCTCGCCCTGGCTGCAAGCTGAAAGCTCCACACGGCAGGATAGATAGAGCCATACATACCAGATGCCATGGTCAACGGGATTGGGTCTGCAGGTTTGCCCTGTACACAAGGAATCAGGTGGACGGGTACTTCATGCAGATGTTCCATCAGGTACGAAGCCGATGAAAAGACGCGTTCCATCTGCTTGTCACCCTGTTCGCTGGCTTGTTCCCCAGCGCTGGTAAGATAGCCTTCGGCGCCTTTGCGATATAAAGCGGCGAGTTTGGCGCGGGTATCAGCGTCATCAACAACCAGCCAGCGCCAGGTTTGAGAGTTTGAACCTGTGGGCGCCTGGATAGCCAGTTCCAGACACTCATCGATGACCTCACGTGGTACTTTCCGGGTTAAATCCAGGCGCTTACGTACCGCGCGTGTGGTGGCCAGCAGTTCATCGGTCATTGCAATGTCAAAATCCATTAATCTTCTCCCCGGTATTAATTTCGTCCCAAGTGTACTCTATCAAAGCAGACGATTAAGCTTGGGTTTCTTTGCCTCTGTGGACGGTCCTGATGACAAAAATTGTTGGTTTGCTTGCGTTGTTGGGGTTGTTCGTGCAGCCGGCATCTGCGGCGCTGGAAGATGAAGTTGCTTCTCGCGCGCTACAGACTGAAGCCCAGGTTGTCGCCTGGCGCAGAGACATCCATCAGAATCCGGAACTGTCGAATCGTGAGTTTCGCACCAGCGCCCTGGTTGCTGAACATCTGCGCAGCCTGGGTCTTGAAGTACAGACGGGTATTGCCCACACAGGCGTCGTTGGTGTCCTGAAAGGGGGTAAACCCGGTGCGGTTGTTGCTCTGCGCGCAGACATGGATGCGCTACCCGTGGTGGAAAAAACCGGCCTACCCTTTGCATCAGTCGCCACAGGTGAATATGAAGGTAAAGCGGTGGGTGTTATGCATGCCTGCGGGCACGACAACCATGTTGCAATTCTTATGGGCGCGGCGGTGGTGCTTTCGCAGATGCGAGACGAGTTGCCCGGTACGGTTAAATTCATTTTTCAGCCCGCTGAGGAAGGTCCGCCAAAAGGTGAAGACGGTGGCGCCAAGATGATGATCGCTGAGGGTGTGCTCACCAATCCTGATGTGGATGCAATCTTTGGCTTGCACATTGGTCAGCAGGGGCCGGCAGGGTCAGCAAGCTTCCGGGCCCGCGGTATGATGGCCAGTGCACAACGTTTTGATATCACCATCAATGGTCGGCAGACCCATGGCGCGCGACCCTGGCTGGGCGTTGATCCAGTGGTGATCGGTGCGCAGATTGTTAACGCTCTGCAGACGATTGTCAGCCGCCAGATCGATATCACCCAGGCGCCAGCTGTGGTCACAGTGGCAACTTTTGAGGCCGGTATCCGTAACAACATTGTGCCTGCAACGGCATCACTGTCCGGCACCATCCGCACCTTTGATGCCGATGTGCGTGCCCAGATACATGAAAAAATTACCCGCATTGCGACCATGATCGGTGAGGCGCAAGGTGCCAGCGTTGCGGTTGAAATAGATCCAGGGGTGCCGGTGACGTACAACGATCCAGAGTTGACCGCTGCGATGGCGCCCACGCTGCGTAAGGTATTTGGCCGTGATCAGGTTTATATCAGTGCTCGTGTGACCGGCGCAGAAGATTTTTCGTTCTTCCAGGAGCAGGTGCCGGGATTCTTTTTCTATATCGGCGGCAGACCTGTCGACGTGCTGCCGGAAAAGGCGATACCCAATCATTCGCCGTTTTTTACCGCTGATGAATCCGCCCTGGTGCCTGGCGTGCGGGTGATGAGTCAGCTCGCCATTGATTACCTGTATCAGCAGCAGACGACCGCTAATTGACGCCTGCTGGGTGTAATCGGGTAACTATTCTGTCGCGTAGCACCCCCAGGTGTGAAGTGCATCACAATTAGGTTTGCCCTGGCTGCCTAGAATATGCCGGTCTGCGTGAACAGGACACCACGTGACCTTATTTTCCGACAAACTCTATCTAACCCGCTTCGCAGCCTTCTGGGTTTTCTGTTGTGCGTTATTGCTGTGCGCATCGGTATCGGCTGATTTGCGTGCGCCTGGCTGGTACGACGAAGGTCCTGGCGTGGCCGATTGGCACTATCGTGTGCCCATCAATATCCCCGCTGCCGCAGCGCCAGGCTCAACGGTAAGCTTCGATGTTGACTTTGTCTCGCTTTTGGGCGCGATGAACGTTGATGTGGGTTCGGTCACCCTTGATCTGAATTCACCCCGTGTGGTGGGTAATGGCGGCGTGCTGGTGCCTGAACAGGAGTTTGTCGACCGTATCTTCAACAATGTGCTCGACGCGCCGGCAAACAACCGAGGGCAGATCCGCTTTCTGTTGGCTGATGCCGCCGCGGGCGCAGAATACTTTCTGTACTTTGACATCACCGCTAACGGTGCAAAGCCAGCCAACCCGGCCCTGGTGCTTAATGGTCACTTTGAACTTTCTGCCGGTGGCACACCCACGCGCTGGACTACCTCGGCGGCTAACGCCGGCGGTAACCAGAACAACGAGGTGCAGACCACCAGTCAGGGGCAGACGTTAAGTCTTGGCAGTGGTTGTGGAACCAGTGGCGTGGCGTCACTCGATGTCAGTCCTAACCTTTCAGGCGGTTCTGCAACCGGCCAACGCTGGCATCTGCTGGGCTATCGTGATCAATGCGAAGACGGCAGCGGCAATGAACAGATTCGTCTCGACCGGACAATTACAGTGCCTGCCGGTGGTGCCGCCGGTGTGCTGGAGTTCTATTTTCAGCTCCAGGCGTTTGACGGCATTACGAACAACAGTAATTTTGACTGGATCGAGTTTCGCGTTAACGGTGCAACGGTCAACCACCGCGATCTCGACATAGATAATTCCGGCTCACCGCCGTTACGTATTGATACTGACCGTATTGGACGTCCAGGTTACGCGGGTAGTCTGCGCGATTACGGCTGGCGGCGCGCTGAACTGGATCTGTCACCCTATGCAGGTACAACTATTACCTTCCGCGCGCAAACCCGGCACAGTGCATCAGACAACTCTTATCGTACCTGGGTGAAGCTGGATGACTTCACCTGGAGTTTGCAGACGGCGACGCTGGGTACTGCGGAAGCCTTTGGTGTTAATGTTTTTCTACCCAACGATACAGCGACTGCTGCTGAGTCTGAATATGTCCTCAACGATGTGTTGGCCATCACAGCTCAGGTGGACGTGGATGTCAGCGCAGTGCGCTCAGACGTTTATGATGCAGCTGATACCCTGGTGGCCAGCGCCATTGAACTGTTTGACGATGGCACTCATGGCGACCTGGTTGCTGGTGATCGTGTGTGGAGTAATGATGGCAGCGTGCCTGCGGACCCCACGTACAGCTTCACCACCGGACCATTTGGTTCAGGCTGGCGGGTCAGTGTATACGCGTTAGATAATTCTGTTTCGGCGGGCGGTACGTTGGACGGTTTGTTAATGATTCCAGGCGCAGCCAATACGCCGCAGAATCAGACGAACTTTTACAATGTGGATGACCAGGTGTTCCTCCTGCGCGGCGCGGAAGTGGCCATTGATAAATCTCTGCTGACACTGCAGGACATGATCAGTGCCACCCGGCCGAAATCGATCCCCGGTGCCTGGATTCGCTATCAGGTGCGGGTGGAAAATCAGGGGCCTGACGGTATTAATGCCAATACCATTAATATTGTTGATGAAATTCCAGTCGAAGTGTCTTTGTGTGTCACACCGGCCTGTACCTGTGTGGGGCCAAGCTGCAGCCAGGTGGACCCTGTGCACTTTGATGAAAGCGGCTCGGCGATCAGTACAGGTTTGACCTTCGACTACACCACCCAGGTTGAATACTCCACCGATGGCGTGAACTTCGGCTATACGCCGATGCCTGACGGCGAGGGTTTTGACAGCAACGTACGCTATGTGCGTGTCAGACCCACCGGACCGATGAATCAACCCAGTGGCGGCAGCAATGCTGAGTTTGAACTGCGTTACGTGGTGCGGTTGGAATAGCTTCGCTGGCAGCAGTCGTTGTTAAGACTTGTCTGCAAGCTGGCCAAAGCCGTCGCCTGCTTCAATAAACGCCTGTTCCGCAGGTGTTGAATCACGCCCTAGCACCCCATTTCGATGTGGGAAACGCCCGAACCGGATAATTATATCCCGATGCTGCTGGGCATATCGTAAGGCATTGCCGGTGATGTCTCTGGTACCTTTTGGCGAGCTGTCGCGCAGGTAAGAAAACAGGCCCACCGCCATATGCTGGTCGACAAGGTCTTCGGCGTGTTCAAAAGGCATGTAGAAAAAAGATCGTTCATCCAGCTCAAGTTGTCGATCAGATCCTTCAGCGATGCCTTTACGAGCTGCTGCCAGAGCTAAGTGATCAAAATCAAACGCTTCACGGGTGCCGCGAAAAATGTTCCGTGGCAGCTGGTCGGTGAGGAGAATAAAGGCGAGTTGACCGCGGGCACTGTCCAGCCAGTGGTTCAGATCGCCGCTGTTCGCCTGATACAAAAGCGGCAGAAATTCATCTCTGCAACGCGCATCAAACGCTTTGTCCGGGGTGAACCAGGTTTTTCGCTGTTCAGCTGCGGCCAGCCCGTTTTCAAGCGGCCCAAACCAGAAATCCAGCAGGGGTTTAAAATCTACCAAGCTTACAGGCCCCAGCATTCTCCATCGTCAGCAAACAGAATGTATCCGTCGTAGGATTTTTCGATTTCCGCGCGTGACTGACTTTCCCGGCCGCGGGTGCGGTTCATGCGATGACTGAGGATCAGCATGCGTGCTTCAGCCTGGTCTGCGATGCGGCCAAGTTGTGATGGCAAAGCGTGCAGCTCGCGCTGATTACCACGTGCGTTTTCAGCGATGGCATGGGTGGCGATCAGGGCATCTGCACCTTTGGCAAACTCGGGCATGACGTTTTTCAGATTGTTGAAATCGCCGGTGACAACAATAGACATCTCGCCGATATCCACCCGCCAGGCGATTGCCGGAACGTCCGCATGGTTGACGGGAATAGCACTCATGCGAAGCTCATCATTGCCAAACCCCGACCACCTTTTTTTGCCCAGGGAAGGCACGTTGCGCACACGTACGCGATAGCCGCCGCTGGATTGATGGGTGAGAAAATCCTGCAGGTAAGGATAAGCACCATCCGGGCCGATCATTCGATTTACAAAAGTTTCGGTGTCCGGATAGTTAACATTGTTGCTGTCGGGTCCGAGAATGATCAGCGGCTCGGTGCGGTCAAGAAAATAGGAACCTTTGATGAAGGCGGGAAAGTCGACGCTGTGATCTGCATGCAGGTGTGTGAATGCAATGGCGTAAAGGTCCTCGAACTTGGCGCCGGACTGGTCAAAGCCAACGGACGACCCTGGCCCGGTATCGATAATGATGCGTGCTTTGTTGTCATTCCAGATGACGTAGCTCGGCCCGGCTGCGCCGTCGTCAATCTCCGGACCACCGGCGCCGAGAATCTGTATCCAGACACCGGTATCACCGCAGACCTGGTCTGCACGGCTGGCATTGCTGAACAGGGCAAGAACGAGGCTTAACGTGACAACAACAAATTTCATCTGAGGCTCCAGGGTCGGTGCGGGGCAAAGTGTCTCACCCAAGTGTACGGGATCGGGTCAGGTGTTTAACAGTTGGTCTATTTCAGCCAGCATTTGTTCCGCTGACGCTTCATCGGGCATGCGCCAGTCGCCTCTTGGCGAAAGACTCACGCTGCCGACTTTGGGGCCCGGGGGCAAAGTGGTGCGCTTGAACTGCTGGCTGAAGAATCGAGAGAAGAACTGACGCAGCCACTTCACGATGGTCGCGGGAGCATAGCTGTCCGCAAAACTGAGCGTGGCAAGATGAAAGATTTTTGTCGGTGTGGCGCCGTTGCGCAGGTAATGAAACAGGAAAAAGTCGTGCAGTTCGTAAGGACCAACAATTTCTTCGGTCTGCTGGCCGATGTCCTCGTCATCTGAGGGAATCAGCTCCGGTGAAATGGGTGTTTGCAGAACCTCCTGCAGCACTGTTGATAAACCTTTCTCGCTGCGGTGTGCCGCATACCAGCGAACCAGATAAGCCATCATCGTCTTAGGTACGCTGGCGTTGACGTTGTAACTGGCCATATGGTCAGCGTTAAAGGTACACCAGCCCAATGCCAGTTCGCTCAGATCACCGGTGCCGACCACCAGGCCGCTGACTTTGTTGGCGTAGTTGAACAGAATCTGCGTGCGTTCCCGTGCCTGGGCGTTTTCGAAGACAATGTCGTGCTCGCCGCCGTGGTCAAGGTCCTTCAGATGTTGTGCAACGGCGGCTTCAATAGAAATTTCCTGCAGGTCGACCCCGGCTTCGCTGGCCAGCTCGCGGGCATTTTTCAGGGTCTGGCTGCCTGTGCCGGGCCCGGGTAAGGTCAGCGCGTGCAGGTGGGTAAACGGCAGGTCCAGCTTCTTAAGCGCATCCAGGCACACCAGGAAAGCCAGCGTTGAATCCAGACCGCCTGATAAACCCAGCACCAGGTGATCACAGTGGGCGGCGCGCATGCGCCGGGCAAGCCCGGTGCTCTGGATCGCCATAATTTCCTGGGCGCGTGCATCAAACTCGGCTTCATCTGTGGGCACAAAAGGGTGCCTGGGGTAGTGCCGGGACAGTTCCGGCATCGGTAAACATGCAGCCGGGCTGGTATTGATGCGGTAAGCCCTGGGTCTGTCGGCGTGTACAAAACTGATGTTTTTTGCGCGGTCATGAAGCAGCACCGCGGTGTCGATTTCAGCCACCGTGGCGTGGCTGTCCATGCGAAAGCGATCACTTTGGGCCAGCAACTGACCATTCTCGGTGATCAGACAATGTCCGCCGAAAACAATGTCTTTACTCGACTCCCAGGCGCCGGCACTGGCGTAAACGTAGGCGCACAGCTGGGCTGCACTGGCCATGCGTACCAGTTCGCGGCGGTAGTCCGCTTTGGCTATCAGTTCGTTGCTGGCAGACAGGTTCAGTATAATAGAGGCGCCGGCAAGGCTGGCTTTGGCGCCGGGTGGTTCGGCAGTCCACAGATCCTCACAGATTTCGATGCCGATAAGGTGGCCACCCAGGCTGAACAGCTGATCGATGCGTATCGGAATTGTGCCAAGCTTGTTATGGATCAGCGTTTCGTTGACAGCAGCACCAGGGGTAAACCAGCGTAAGTCGTAGAACTCAGCGTAGTTCGGATGTGTTGATTTGGGCACGAGCCCCAGCACCTGACCATTGCTGATGACGGCAGCGCAATTCAGCAAGCGTCCATCATTGAGCCGCCAGGGCAAGCCCACCACAAGCATCGGCAGCGGGTTTTTCGCACAGAGGTCGATCAGGGCCTGCTCCACGCTGTGCAGCAGCGAATCGCTGAAAAACAGATCTTCGGCGGAGTAGCCGGACAAACACAGCTCTGGAAACACGGCCAGGCTGACACCCTGCTCGGCGAGTAATTGACTCTGCCGCACAATTTCGTCTGTGTTGGCAACGGGGTTGCCAATGCTGACGACGGGCGATGCAGCTGCAACTTTCAGGTAACCCAGGTTTGTGAAATCCATTTGCTTATCAACTGTTGTCGGTGGTCTATCTTATTGGTTGGCGGATGCGTTGGTTTGCTGATGTGTCTATCTGCATGGCACCGACACAAGGGCGAGCGGAACAGGTCAGTGTACAGGTGGTTCGCTGCCTTCCAGTTCGCGGACAACGTCAGCGGTTTTCTGCAGAATGCGGGCCACCAGCGCATCAGCGGTTTGCGAGAATTGCAGCCCTATCGCGACGCAGGTCGACAGCTCAATGATGGGCTGGGTCAGCTCCCAGGCATCGCTGGCACCGTTCAGACTGCCGCGGATGCGTTTGAAATGGGCCTTTGCGGTTGCAGACCCTTCCTCATCCAGCTGCACGATTAACTCATCCAGCAGAGGTGTGATGCTGTTGCGTGCGGTAGTGGCTCTGTGCATCTTCAACGACCCTTTCGCAAAACCGGGTTTCATTCTGCCTGTACAAGTAAGTGAAGCCAAGCGCCAGAGCGAATATGCTGTGAGCCTTACTGGTTGACTGAGATGAGCCCACTATGCGTATTACGGTTTGGAATGAGTATGTACATGAACGGCATAACCCTGCAGTGGCAGAGATATACCCGGACGGTATTCATGGCGCTGTGGCCAGCCTGTTGCGTGAGGGCGTCACTGATGCGGAAGTCCGTACCGCGACCTTAAAAGACCCGCAGCACGGCTTGTCTGAAGAGGTGCTGGACAATACCGACGTGCTGTTCTGGTGGGGGCATCTTGCGCACCACAAAGTAGCAGACGATGTTGTTGATCGCGTGCATCAACGTGTTATGCAGGGGATGGGGCTGGTGGTGATGCATTCCGCCCATCTGTCTAAGATATTCTGCAAGCTCATGGGCACCACCTGTAATCTGCGCTGGCGTGAAGCGGACGACCGTGAACTGGTCTGGACGGTGAACCCTGGACATCCAATTGCGGCGGGTGTTGCGCAGCCGATCGAACTGCCCACCCATGAAATGTACGGCGAATATTTCGATATTCCTGCCCCCGATGAACTGGTATTTATCAGTTCTTACACGGGTGGTGAGGTGTTCCGCAGCGGCTGCTGTTTTTTTCGCGGCAAAGGCCGCGTGTTTTATTTCAGCCCTGGACACGAAACCTATCCGGTGTTTGCTGACCCGAACATCAGACAGGTGTTGTGTAATGCTGCGGGCTGGGTGTATCAGCCGCAGACATCACCTATTGTAACGAACACCAGTCCTGAATCACCGACGGGGTGGTTTCAGGCCGACTGAGCCAGATAGGCAGGCAGGTGTAGCGCATCAGGTAAAACATGGTCTGCGCCTGCCGCCTGCAGGGCGGCCGCGTCATTGCTGCCACTGAGTACGCCGATACATATCATGTCCAGAGCGCGCCCGGCGCGCATGTCCAAAGCACCGTCTCCTACCATAATACTGTCGTTAGACGTTGCGCCGATCTGTGCAAGGCAGCTGTCCAGATGGCGCGTATCGGGCTTCAGGTAAGGTACATCTTCGCGGGCATGCAAAGCATCAATATAGTTCAATAGATCAGGGAAGACTTCGAGCACCGCAGCGCGGCAGTTACGCGTGACAACGCCCAGTTTCAGGTTATTGCTGCGCAGGTGTGCCAACAACTCAGGTGCGCCTGGAAAAGGTGTCGTGGATCGCGCGGCGTGCACTTCGAAATCTGTAATCAGCTGGTGTGCAGCCTGTTGATAACGCTCTGCAGCATCGGGTTCATTTACCTTCAGCCAGCCGTGGGCTGCATCAATAATCTCGACGATATATCGACCGTCATAAACCTCGGCAGGTACAGACGTATCTGCGGTAAAACTCACCACCTCGCCGCGCAGTCTGGCCAGGTCCAGGTTGGGTGCCAGGGTGCCATCAAAATCGAACAATATGCCGCTGATGTTTGCGGCGTTCACGGTTTGTCCTGGCTGTGCTGGTCAGCCTCTGTTGCTTGCTCAAGGTCTGCCTGAGCCTGGCGACGGGCAGCCCAGCGCGCTTCGTGGGTCGCCGCAATATGCAGTCGAAAACGATTCCAGGCGATACCGAACATGATGATCAGGCTGATCAGCGCAACTGCCGGGTAAGCTCTGGATGGAATCCAGGAGGCCGCGTTGGGGTCGCTATGCGCCGCCGCTAACGCAAATGCAGCAATAGCCACCGCCATTGCAGATTGTGTAATCAGATAAGCGGCGCCGGCGAGACACAGTGGCAACCAGAGCTGATGCAGAGGCCGTGGGTCATCTATGTTGAGGAGGAACACAATGGCGGCTGCCAGAGCGACACCACCGATGCGTAGCCATGGGTGGGTCAGCTCGTTCACGTCACGATATCCACGGCACCGCCGTCGATGCGGATATTCTGGCCATGAATCGCATCAGCAAGCGGGCTGCATAAATAGGCCACCAGGCCTGCGATTTCTTCTCTGCGTGCAATTCTGCGAATCGGTATGTCTTTGGCAACATGGGGTTCCACTTCCTGCCAGGTGTCACCCCAGCCTTCGCGTCGACCTTTGGCAAGATACGCGGCTTCCACTTCAGGTGTGAGGATCAATCCTGGAGAGACAATATTCACACGGATGCCGGTGCCCGCCACTTCTTTTGCAAGGCCAACGGTCATGTTGGCCAATGCCCCTTTGGCGGCATAGTAGCCCGGCATGCGGCTATTCGGCCTGGAAGAGCCAACAGTGCCCAGGTTGATGATGCGTCCCCAGTCCCGGGCAGACATGGCGGGCAGAAAGTGGCGGATCAGGCGCTGAGCTGACAGCACGTTTTTCTGATAAGCACTGATCCAGTCGTCACTGTCGCTTTTCAGCCACGTACCCGGCTCAGCAGTGCCATAGTTGTTCACAAGTATGTCTACGGGATAGTCGGCGATGGCTGCAATCAACGCTGCTGTGCCCGCGTCGGTGGTGATGTCACCGGTCACGGCAATGCCGCCACCCAGTTCGGTGACAGCGGCTTCAGCCTGACCAGGTTCCAGCCCATGGACCAGGACCGTTGCCCCTTCTGCCAGCAGTGCCTGGGCGATGATCGCGCCAGTGCCTCGATGGCTGCCGGTGACGAGGGCAGTGCGGTGGGAGAGTTGTAGGTCCAAGCCAGGACTCCTTTCAAGTGTTAACGCGTACTGCTGATCATGCTATCAAACTTTTTCACCAGGCTGCTGGCTATCAACCTCACAGGTTCCCATACTGCCGCCATGGAGTGGTTGAGCTGGGCCGGTATTCTGCTGGCGGTATTTATTGGAAGCTATATTCAGGCGGTGGCAGGTTTTGCCATGGGCATGATTATTGTTGCCGTTGTAGGTGGGTTTGCTCTGCTGGACGTGCCCAGCCTCGCGGCGGTGGTCAGCTTGTTAACCATTCTCAATGTGGTGCTGTCGTTGCGGGGCCACGTACATCATGTCCACATGCCTTTGTTCAAATGGCTGGCCCTGGGTCAGGTACCAGCGGTCTTCCTGGGTTTGATGCTGATGACCTGGATGGATGGCCATACCCGCTGGGTGTTGGAATTAGCGCTGGGGGTTTTTATCACCGCAGGGGGGCTGTCGATGCTGCTTAAACCCCACCCCTGGCCCCAGGTTTCTGCGCCGTTTACCAGTTGGTTTGCCGGCGTTTCAGCAGGTCTGGTTGGCGGCATGTTTTCCGCCAGTGGTCCCGTGTTGGGTTGGTTTGGCTACAGTCAGCCGCTGCCCCTTGCGGCGATACGGGCAACTTTGCTGGCCTGTTTTGTACTGACCACCAGTACCCGCACGGTGCTGGTGGGTGTGACCGGGGGTTTAACGCCTACAGTGCTGACCTATGCGTTAGCGGCTCTGCCCGTTGTTGTGCTGGGCACAGTGCTGGGCCGTATGTTTGTGCCGCCGGTGTCTGAGCAGACGATAAAAAAGTTTGCCTACGGACTGTTGCTGATTATGGGGGTCTGGATATTGCTGCGCTCAGCTGCGCTTTTCTTTGTTTAGCTGAGCCATCAAACCAAACAGGGCAGTGACGTCATTGGCACTGCTGTCACCTGCAAATTCTTTGTACAACACGGAAACGTTAACGGCGATGCGTTCGCCATCTCCCCAACTGTCGTAGTCACTGAAGTTGATGTCCCGGCAGGCTTCCAACACGCCCATGCCCTGATCGTAGCGTTGCTTAGCTTCATCGTGGATGTAAGACAGGTAGCCTCGAACCGCCTGGATGCCCTGTTTGTCAGTGATGGGCCCGTGCCCTGGTACCACGGTGTCGATATCCAGGCCGCACATGTAGTCGCAGGCGTCTATCCAGTTCTGTACCGGCCCTGCCCAGAGAATGGGATGGCCTTCGATAAACAGGATGTCGCCGGTGAATACGGTGCGATCTGCGGGCACATGAACCAGTACGTCACCATGAGTATGTGCAGGCCCTACCTGTCGCAATTCAACCGCCTTGTCGCCCACGGTCAGATCCAGTGATCCCTCAAAGGTATGGTTGGGCAGGGTTCGCTCAATATCGCGGAAGTCAAACTTGCCAAAACATTGTGTGAAAAATGCTCCGACATCACCCATGTTGGGTGCCGCTTCCAGTAACTTCAGCATGCCCGCCGGGCTCTCGTTGGCCAACTCCTCCAGACACGCCTGGGAAGCAATGATCTGCCCTGCACCCACCAGCTCATTGCCATTGCAGTGGTCGCCGTTTGAATGTGTGTTCACCAGAAACTCGAAGTCGGCGGTTGCCTGGGGTTCTGCGTCGCGCATGGCATCCAGCATGGTCCGGGTCAGCGGTTTATCAAACAGCGTATCCACCAGCATGCACACGTCACCATCAACAATCAGACCGGCGTTACTCCAACCCCAGCCGCCATCGGGCTGCAGCCAGGCATAACTGTTATTGCCGAGATCGTGTAAACCCCGCGTATAGGGTCGGATACCTAAACCCATGGTGTGCTCCTTGCTGGCCTGTTGAACGATTCTGTTGGTGTTTGCTGGAGAGTGCATCAGTTTAGCCGGATGGGCAAATCATCAACTGATTGTTTGCTTGTTTTCTGGCGGGAAGGCGCTACTGTGCCCCTCATGCAGGATTACGACAGTATTCGCCCTTATAACGACCAGGAAGTTCCCGGGGTTGTGCAGCGCGTGGTGAATAACCCCGAATTTGGCAAAGCTGCTTCTAAAGTGGTGATGCCGCCGCTTCTGCAGAACACGGCAGTAGGCGACTGGGCTACCCGACTGTTTCTGCGTTTGCGCACCCGCGGGTTAAAGAGTGTTGAAGATTGTCAGCTGATCATCGCCGACTACTTCGAACGCCTGGTCGATGACACGATCATTGATTTATCAGTCTCCGGCCTGGAATCTCTCGATCCGCAAGGCACCTACCTTTTCATGTCGAATCATCGCGATATCGTGATGGATTCAGGTCTGCTTAACTTTGTCATTCACAATGCAGGCCACGAAACCTGTCGCATGGCGGTAGGTGACAACTTGTTGGAAAACGAGCTGGCGGCGGATCTGATGCGCATAAATAAAAGCTTTGTGGTTGAGCGCAGTGTCATTGGCGCGCGGGCTGCATTAAGTGCCTATACCCGGACCAGCAGCTATATCAGAGACTCATTGGCGGAAGGTGTGTCCATATGGATTGCGCAACGCCCGGGGCGTGCAAAAGATGGCTGGGATCGCACTGATACTGCCCTGTTAAAAATGTTAACGCTTGCTCACAAAGAAGTGGACGACCCTTTTGAGGGGTTTATTCAGTCCGTGACGCTGGTGCCGGTGTCGATTTCTTATGAAATTGATCCCTGCGCGGATCGAAAAGCCCACGAACTTGCGATGCTGGCTGAGCATGGCAGTTACGACAAAGCATTTGAAGAAGATCTCGACAGCATCATTGCCGGCATGGTGGGGCAGAAAGGCCGCGTGCACCTGCATTTTAGCGAGCCGCTGGTGCCAGGCAGTACTGCTGTGCAAGCACTGCACAACATTGATGATCTTGCTGCCTACATGGACAGAACGATTGTTTCCGGTATGCGTATTTATCCAACTCATATCGCCGCAGCGGCCGCGCTGGGCGATAGTTCAGCAATTGTCGCGGAAGATGAACCGATAGCAGAGATCATGGACCTGTTTGAGCAAGCCAAGTCTGCCTGCCCTGAACGTGAACGACCGTTTTTTCTGCTGCAGTACGCAAATCTATTGCGCAATCGAGCCGAATTGTTAGGCCATGTACATGAGAGCGGGTTCGTCCAGTAGCGCCATCTGTTCTCGCAGTTCCAGCAGGTGGTCTGACCAGAAGCGTGGTGACTCGAACCAGGGAAAAGCCGCCGGGAATGCGGGGTCCTGCCAACGGCGTGCAATCCAGGCTGCATGGTGCATCAGGCGAAGCGTGCGTAGGGCTTCAATAGCGCTCAGGGTGGCGGGGTTGAAGTCGTAAAACGTCGTGTACGCATCGAGAATCAGGTTAAGTTGTAACGTCTGGTCTGGTCGCTCGCCAGACAGCAGCATCCATAAATCCTGTATCGGTGGTCCCATCACACAATCATCGAAGTCGACGAAGTGAGGGGTATCTACCCGCCACAGCACATTACCCATGTGGCAGTCGCCGTGAATCCTGATTGCTGGCAGTGTGGCCATGATCGGTTCTATGCGGGCAAGCAGGTCTGCGGTGACCGTTTCATAAGCACGCTCAACGTCCAGAGGGACAAACTGCTGCTCCAGCAGGTACTGGCGGCTATCGTGTCCGAGACGCTTGGTCGTTAAAGCCGCACGATATTCGAACGGTTTTTGTGCGCCTATGGCATGCATACGACCAATGGTGCGCGCAAGTACGGCCAGATTGTCTTCGTCTTCCAGGTTCGGTGGATGGCCACCCTGCCGGGGATAAACGGCAAATTGAAAGTTCTCGTATTCGAAGAGACTGGTACCTTCGATGACCAGCGGTGCCACCACAGAAATTTCCGCTTCCACCAATTCGAAACTGAAAGCGTGTTCTTCGACAATAGCGGGTGTCGTCCAGCGTCCCGGTCGATAAAACTTGGTCACCACAAACGAGCCATCTTCCAGCTCTACCTGGTAGACGCGGTTTTCGTAGCTGTTAAGCGCCATAATTCCGCCGTTGGGCTCGAAGCCAACGGATTCCATTGCATCCAGTATCAGCTCGGGGCTGAGCGTGGCGTAGGGCGTCTGATTGGGTACAGGCGTGGCTGGGGTTGTCATGGCGCGCACTGTAACACTATCCGGCGTGAAGAATGGTTCAGGTTGGGCGGGGTGTGCGGGTGGCACACCAGACATCTATTTTTTTTACTCCCGCATTGTGTAGCTGTAGCGCCAGGGTTTTTGCGGTGGCGCCGGTGGTGAGCACGTCATCGATAATGGCAACGTGATCTGTCGGCATCGGCTGCCGGATGGAAAAGCTGGCTGGAGCCAGTTGCAGCCGGCTGCGCCGGTTTTTGCCCTTTTGCGTAGCGCCACTTTTGCGTCTCACTGGTGTTGTTATGATGGGAAGGTGCATGGCTTTGGCCAGCAGGTGTGCAAGCCAGGCGGCCTGGTTGAAGCCGCGGTTCACCTGACGCCAGTAAGCCAGAGGTACCGGGATGATGGCTTCCACCAGCGGTTTTTGCGCATAGTTCAACGCCACTGCCTGCTGCAGAGCACATGCGAGGGTGCGCCCTTCGCGCAGGCCGTGGCTGTATTTGAGTCGATGAATGAGAGCCCGGCCGCTGCCCTGATGTAATAGCGCCGCCACACAGGTGCCTGCAAACAGGGGGTTGGTCAGGCAGGCACCGCAGACATCACCCTGTTGCAGTGGCAGGGCGCAGTGCTGGCAGGCGCGAATGATGCGCGGCAAGGCGGCCCAGCAGTGTGGGCAGGTACGATGCGGCTGACTTGTCGTTACGGTACTTTCGCACAGCACGCACGTATCGGGTAAGACTGCCTCGAGCAGATGCTTAATGAGTTGCATGGTGATGGTTTAGCTGTTCCCTGGCTCAGCAAATATGAGAACTGGTGCTCAAAAACGGTGAGAAATGACTCGTTTGAGACGCAATTGGCGGGTGAAAGGGCTAGGCTGCGGGCTTAGCAGTGAAAGGTCGGCGAAATGGCAGTAAATCCGATGCTTAGTGCAGGCGCCAACGCAATCAGCAACGGTGTCAAATCTATGGACAGCGTAGCGCAGGAAATTGCGCAGCAGCGCCTGGGAGACCAGCCCAGCGAAAGCGCCGGTGACGGCGAACCCCACAGCAGTGTAGCGATTGATGAGATCAGCGCAGCGGTGGTCGATCTGAAGCTTTATGAGCGACAGGTGCAGGCCGCTACTCAGGTGGTTCAGACAGCTGATGAGCTGCTCGGCTTTCTCATCGACGTTCACGCCTGATACATTACATTCCCTTCCGGTCAGACACTTTTTTTTGCAGCTGGGCCACGGTTTGCTCATGCATTAACATATGGCCCCTTTGAAGCACGTCCTAAGGTTCACTTTTGCATTACCAAGCGCCAGAACGCGACGCCGCGTTTCTCATGTTCGAATTGTTCAAAGTCCAGGATATCTGGCCCCAGATACCTGCATTTAGCGACTTCAGTGAAGATCTGATCAATGCTGTGGTAGCAGAGGGTGGTCGTATCGCGGCGGAGGTCATGCTGCCAACCAACGGCCCGGGCGATGAAGAAGGCTGCACCTGGCAGGACGGTGAAGTCACGACGCCTGCGGTGTTTAAAGCCGCCTATCGTGAGTTAAGTGAAGGTGGCTGGCTGGGTCTGGCCGGTAACCCGGAATACGGCGGTCAGGGCATGCCAAAAATGCTGGCCTGTCTGGTGGAAGAGATGCTCTGGTCTGGCAACGCCAGCCTCTACCTCTACGGCACGCTTACGGTGGGTGCCTGTCTGTCGATTGATGCACACGGTACCCCGGAACAGAAGCAGATGTACCTGCCGAAAATGTATGCCGGCCAATGGACAGGTGCCATGGCCCTAACGGAAAGCCATGCCGGCACGGACCTGGGTATCATGCGCAGCAAAGCGCAGCCCAATGCGGATGGCAGTTATGCCATCACGGGGACTAAAATATTTATCACCGGTGGCGAGCATGATCTGGTTGAGAACATTGTTCACCTGGTGCTGGCCAAGCTGCCTGGTGCGCCCGCCGGTACAAAAGGCATATCGCTGTTTATAGTGCCCAAGTTTCTGGTTAATGAAGACGGTAGCCTGGGTGAGCGCAATGCCTGGGCAAGTGGCTCTATTGAACACAAAATGGGTATTCGTGGCAGCGCCACGTCGGTGATCAATTACGACGGCGCCACGGGTTACCTCCTGGGTGAGGAGAACAAAGGCCTTGCGGCTATGTTCACGATGATGAACTACGAACGTTTGTCCATCGGTTTACAGGGTCTGGGCGCCGGAGAGCTGGCTTATCAATTATCCGCAGCCTACGCAAAAGACCGCCTGCAGGGTCGTGCGCCAACGGGTGCGCAGAATCCGGAGGGTCCGGCAGACTCGCTGCTGGTGCACCCTGACGTGCGTCGCATGCTCATGACCCAGCGCGCCTACAATGAGGCAGGCCGCGCGTTTGCTTTGTATGTTGGTTTGTTACTGGATCAAGGTAAATATGGCGAAGATGCGCAGGCCCATGCGCGTTCAGAATTGTTGACCCCGGTGGCAAAAGCCTATTTCAGTGATCGCGGCTTTGATGGTGCGGTAATGGCGCAGCAGGTGTTTGGGGGCCACGGCTATGTGCAGGAGTGGGGGGTTGAACAGGTGGTGCGCGATGCGCGCATTGCGCAGATTTATGAAGGCACAAATGGCGTGCAGGCGTTGGATCTTATTGG